CCGAGTTCCGCCAGACTCGCCCATGGAAGTTCTTTACGTCTCGGAATTCAACCACCGAGTTATCCTGGTCTGACGTGGAGAAGATCAAACCAGGACAGGCGTGGACGACATGGGAGTTCCATCTCTACTCTTGCGCGTTTCTGTGGAAGAAAGAGGTCAAGATCGCGCACGGATTGGTCTCTGGTACCATCGACTATCACCAGTGCCTAGACCATGCGTTGATGCACGACTACGCGAGGCCCAAGGACCATGTGAGTATCCCTTACTGGCCTCGCTTTACTTCTTGTCGACCGCCTAGCGACATATCCGTTCACCAATTCGATTTGAAACCTGGTGTGGAAAAGGGGCTTGGTAGTGATGGACAGCTAGCTGAAGTGCATGGCCATTCTCATATTCACGGGGCGAATAAGGAATTTGATCACAAGCCAAGGGAATAGACCATTTTCGTCACTGGGGGCAAATGTTGTAGCAGACTGATTAGCCAATGTCTTCGTTCTCGGGCTCTCCATGCAATAGTATAGTCACCATTCCTACCATAAATCCCACATATCGTTACGATTAACGTAAAGTCCTCTGATCCTCATACGTGGGTAACCAAGTTCGTTTCAAGTCAAGGTTCAATACCCTGAACATGGTGAAAACCACAGTCTAGACTACCGGGAACTGATCCATCATTGGGCAGACAAAGTAAGCTACACACTATTGTCGATAACCGAGAGCGACAGTGTCGTCAGAATTTCACCTTACGACTAGGTTCACAATAAGGATCAGGGTTTTTTAGTAAAAAAAAAAGCAGGGCAACTACTTGTTCTCGAAAGTATCCCACTTTCCGCCGTTTAAGCTTCCGTCATCCCACCCAGCAAGCTCAAGGTTGGAAGCCTTTTGTGTGCGTGCCCAAACTATCAACTTGGCCTTGTCAGAGCTGCATAAGGGGACTCAAACGCGGCGGGGATCCTCTTCAGGGTCATTGGAGCAAGAAAGTAACGCGAATCCACTAGGAATCCTTTCCAAATTGAGTCATTGTTGCTAGCTATGCTCTTGGTGATACACGGTTCCGCGGATGTACGGCTCGAGCCGGAACATTAATCATTATTCTATAAGCTAGTATACGCAAATGGAGATATTCCAAGAAACCTTGAGGTAATCGACTACCGCAGATAACGTGACTAGGTCTGCTCGTCTGCCACGAGGGTGTCGGAAGACAAGCTGTAAAAGGGAGTAGGAACGCCATATATGACCACGTTACATCCCACGCTGTCTACCTTGGTGTTCGAGCATCTAACAAATCAGACAACTACAATACACCAACTATATCTGTTATCATTATCCAACGACTCACAATGAGATTCACCGCCCTTACTTCCGTTGCGATCCTTGCAGCCACTGCTCTTGCGGCACCGACCATCCAGAGAGAGGAGAAACGGGCTTTCGTCACTGACGAGCTTGGTACGTGTTTGAAGCACTTAAGATTCCGTAGACAATTAAGTGGTCTAACTGACGAGTAAAGATCCTCGCGCGTTTGTCACCGAAGACAAACGCGAGTTTGTGACTGAGCCAGAGAGACGCTCCTTTGTTACAGAGGACAAGCGAGGATTTGTCACTGAGGAGAAGCGTGGTTTCGTCACCGAAGATGAAATGGAGAAGAGAGGTTTCGTCACCGAGCCCGATATGAGCAAGCGTGGCTTCGTGACGGAGCCAGAGAAGAGGTCTTTTGTCACTGAGGACAAGCGCAGCTTCGTGACCGAACCCGAGAAGCGCGGCTTCGTCACTGAGGATAAGCGCAGCTTCGTCACTGAGCCAGAGAAGCGCGCCTTCGTCACTGAGGATAAGAGAAGCTTTGTCACGGAGCCCGAGAAGCGCGGTTTCGTCACTGAAGAGAAGAGGGGCTTCGTCACTGAGCCTGAGAAGAGATCCTTCATTACAGAGAAGCGTGGCTTTGTCACCGAGGACAAGCGTAGCTTTGTTACGGAGCCTGAGAAGAGATCTTTCGTGACTGAAGACAAGCGCGGCTTTGTTACCGAGCCTGAGAAGCGTGGATTTGTCACTGAGGAGAAGCGCTCTTTCATCACTGAGCCCCACAAGAGAGGCTTTGTCACCGAGGACAAGCGTGCCTTCGTTACTGACGAGAACATGGAGTAATACTCATATGATCCTCGGTACTTTAAGAATGATGGAGAGGATGGAACAGACAAGTGGTGGTAAATGGTACAGATTGTCCTGACGGGAAACCGGCGGTACTTGGTGGAGTTTTTCTTGATTACGTTAGACAAGGTAGCTTCAACAGCAGACTGGTCACTGAAATCAAAACTCTTGTCTCGCTTTACATTAGTTCTACTGCGATGACGAAAAGAGTGTGTGTCAATGGTGTGTTATCAATGGAACTGACAAGCTAGGGATTAACACGACGTTGAACGAAGGAGAGATTGAAAGCTATCAAGCTTGTATGGCATTGAGAGCTATTCTACTGACAAAAGCTACAAGAGGTGTTGTTTACCGAGGCCATTTTCTTTCTACACGTTGCATGTATTTGATTGAGGCATTGCTGCCAATCACCCGAAAGCTAAAGCAACCCTAGATTCTGCCCTACTCACTGTCACCAGTCAGCCAGATTTCGTGGCCGTTTCCTTCGTTTACGATGCGACTATTCAGACACCCTAAGACTGCAACACCACTTGCAATCCACCAGACCAAGCCTGTGATGTTATGGGACGACCCGTAGCTATACACGATTCCCGCTATGGATGAAGTCGCTGACCTTATCAAACCAGACAACAAGAATGCGCTGCTGTGGGTTCGCGCTAAAGCAGACGGATGCGGCGAAGACCTGACCAAAGGATGTAAGCCAATGTGAGCATTCACAACAAGAACGATATCAAAAGCAGCTTACAAATTGGTCAGAACAAGTTGCGCTGGTACGACAAATGTGGATGTGCCCACCATCATGATTTGAACCAGGATGATGAGGAACCAAACGACGAACCCAGTTTTACCAGCTGGTGGTGGTGTAGTCGAGGGCATAGCTGCGATGTAAGGCACGATGAAGTAGAGTAGCGGCATCCCAAGCATGAACTTGCGCCACATCTTCAAAGTGCCGAGACGACGGCTGATGCGGGGATAGATGAAAAGTTGCGTGGGTAATCCCATCATTCCGACGATGAAGAGAGACCACATAATTTGGTCTGGCTTCATCCCGGCCCCGCCAGAAAAGAAGAAAGGGAGCTTGAGTTTGCCTTCTTTGTCAACCGGGTCGCTGAGGAAACTCGTCCACAGAGTGTTGTAGGTCGTGATGTGATACTCCTGGATGGCGTATGAAACAAGCGTGAGACACATATTTTTAGTGAACATGCGCCTAGATGGTAAGATCATGGGAGTTGTCTTGACTGCCTTCATTGGTGATCTTTGCTCTTCGGAATCCCTTTCAGATGGGTCAGAGTATTCCGTGATCATATGTGACATCTCTTCGTCAGTGGCATCCTCATGGCCTGCTCTGGTTGCTGTCGAGATCTTGGTTCCAAACAAAAGGTATCGAACTCTTCGGGTGAAGGCGACGCCAGGATCGTATCTATCTTTCAGGGGCTCTAGAGTCTGTAGAAACGGAAGCTGTAAGCCTGATTCAACAATTACGAGTGGAAAGCAACGAGCTCACTTCTTCTAGGAAAAGCAAGACCGCGAAGAAGGCCAACAGCATGATAGATCCGCTGAGGATAGCTGGTGGTGCATACGGCCACGCTTTCAGAAACGCATTATTCCCAAACTTATCGGGGTATTTCCCCGCTAGGTCAGCCAGCTGCCCGGCCATGAGGGGACTAGCCATGGCAGCAACGTTGAAAGAGATCGGAAGCAACAAGAAAGCATGAGGCTGAAATCTTTCGGGATTGTTAGCTATTGCTAGCGAATTCTAATCAACCTGAGCAATGACTGACCGTTTCTCCACGACAACCTCGGAGACCATCGTCCTCACTGTCGCCACATTTCCGTTGACTAGACCTTCGAGGATCCGCAACGCCAGTGCCTGCTTGAAATCTGTGATGAATCCAAAAGCAACACATCCAATAACTACATTCAAGGACTTGATCGTTAGCGGCCGAACGCCGTCTCTCATCTTACATCCAGTGCATGTGATGACGGGACTCACATGATCCAGCTATTCCCCCCATTAGAACAAGCTTTCTACCGCCTCTGGGAGAATCGGCCAGTTTCCCCAAGAACATTGACGAAAAGCATTGTGATAGCATAAAACTTGTTTGTAAGTAAGCGACTTGTCGGACGATCGCTCCCGAGTCTAGCGTCGCATCTAAAGACTGCAATTGATAAAACAAATATGTCTAAGACGCCTTGTCAGCGACCCCCACATCTGCACAACGTCGTGGTGGAAAGAGTCTACTCACGAGCAGTGAGATGCTCACTACCGGCTCGGCAAACCGTAGGAAACATAAAATGGCGAGCTGGTCCTTTCGCGGCAGGGACCGCCAAGTCACTTCGTCTTTCTTGGCTTCCATATCAATTGAATTCTTGATAATAGTCAAATATCTCAAGCAAAGCTTTGGTAAACGTTTTGGTCGTCTCTTCCAGGTCAAACTTGCCGTAGACAAGCCAGAGATCTCAATGCCTTGCGTTCTTCGCTTTGCTCACCTTGATTGAGCTCAACCACTGGCGGGACATCTCCCAACACATCAGTTGCATCCGCCGGCTGCATCTCAATTAGGAAAATCAGAGCTCCGAGTTGAACCCGACCGCGGCGGGGTAGCTCCGTGCAAGCTTCGGTCCGCAGTGGAGACGGACAGATTGAAACAGTGCTACTAAACCTTCACGCAGGCCACCTCGGTCCGCTACTTAGCTCTAATCGTCAGGACAAGAGGTGTCTGTTGTGGTGGCTGCGGGTTTCGATCGATAGGCCGCCCTAGGATAGTTGAGCGAGGTAAACCTCACTGCTTCAGTTGGGTTGCAATTCAGTCGCACATGGAATACGTTTGATCTGCATTCAACTCTAGTCAATAGGGATGGGCAAGAACGTGACTTTTGCGAGCAATATGAGGAAAGCGGCCAAGTACGACGTCCTTGAAGGGGGCGAAAATCTGGACGATGATGAGTTGGAAAGCCTCGGGGGCATGGACCTAGATCACAGTGGCCCATGCGGTAACTCGCCGACCTTCCCAGACGAGTGGAATCGTGATCGTGTCTTATGGGATCAGCGTCTCCGCAAGATTCGACGAGTAGCCTGGGCCGAGGGTATTCTGCTAATCATTCTTCTCGGATACATCGTTTTGCTCAATATTGGTACCGCCTGGCCTCGAGAAGAAGTCACCCCGTTGGGAGTTGACCCCAGTGGTTTTGTCCCGCCAGGTGAGCCAAACCCTTTCTTGACGCTAAAATGCGGCCCTAACTCGAGGCACAGAAATCGGACAGCCTGTCAAGTGGGCTAAGTACGATGATGAGAGCGATCCGCACTATTTCAAGCCCGACGTTTTCGAGAGCCTCGAAAATGTGCAAGCTGCTGCGAGGGATTTCAAGATGCTGCACAACGGTTCGTTGACACTACGATACTTTACTGAATGGGTTCCAGTCCAACTGATTCGTTGCACAGCATCAAACGTGAGAATCAACGGAAAATACAGCACGTACATGGATTTCGATAACAAGCAGCAACCGCTCCCTGCATATGTCACCCGCAAGGGATCAGAGCTCTACAGCATACGCGCTTTTCACCAGATGCACTGCATTGTAAGTATATAAAACTGCAGAAGTGTTGAAAGAGTTGAACTTCTGACACGAGACCAGTCAATCATTTTTGAAGATATCGGCTACAGGGTCAATAACAAAACGTCAAAGTGGGAAACGGGCCATGTCATCCACTGTTTGAACACGGTGAGGTCAGCCATAACATGCCTAGCGGACGCGACGCCAATTTCTTACGTTCATGGTATGGGTGTTGGCCACACTACAGACGATCAGCAGAGTCATTGCAGGGACTTCTTTGCGCTGAGGGAGTGGGCCCACGACCCGGCACGGGCAGTGAAATGGGTCAATGTTGCACCAGAGGATGAGAAGGATAAGTATGAGGAGATTGTAGACTAGAGTCACAGTATGTGATTTGAAACCAGGTGGGTGGGTGATGGATGAAGATCTCAGTAGCTTTTGAGAGATGTGCTGAACCATTCTTGAGGTTGGAGTTTACAGTAAGAACGGCGAGCCTTCACAACATAAGATGGCAGCAAGTATCGATTCAGCGAGCCGTTGCGCCACTACAGTAAGAACATGAATACAACGTGTAGAGTGCTTAACACCAATCCAGAACTCCCTCATCCCATCAACCAAGGTTCATGTCTAGACTCTTCCGAATGTGAGCGGTGATAGTATCGATCTTTCTCGTCGGGTAAGTAGATGTTTTTGCACGGTAGCCTCGCTTCAGTGACCACTTACATGTTCTGAATCAAAGACGCTATAATGATTACCTGTCGTCTCAATAACCTGCTCCACAAACCCTTCTAGCATATCCTCCCAACCAAGTTGAGGTAGAAACCGAGTTCTATCAAGAGGACACTTCTCAGCCGGGTCCGCCATAGGCACCAAGTCTTTGGCTCGGATTAGCACCGCATGTGGCGGAGTCGGGTCGACATCTCGGGAGCGGGCTGTACCAAGAACACCGGTCCTCGGCAACGCCCACGACGGAGGGTCCCACTGGTCAGAGAGACAAGTCGCTCGCATGAGAGCAGTCATAAGCTTGTCGCGGGTTTCTTGGTTGATACCAGGAAGAGCTGGGGCGTGATGCAACTTTGCCGGCTCCTTTTGAGCTTCAGGTCGAGGGCAGCGAGGGTAGACTGAGTCTATGAGGATGATTCGCGATACGCGCAAGCCACGGCCTGACATCGCTAGCATATGGGCGATTTGCACTGCTAGAACGCCCCCGAATGACCATCCTATATTCTGGTCAGCGCCCGAAGCGATTGGTTTAGAGCTTAGTGCTACATACCACCGAGGACGATTTCTCCTCTCAGCATGACTCTTTTGATGAGGCGGATGTATGCTTCAGCTATTTCCTTGACGCTCTGCCATCCGCCAATACCGTCCGCATCGAACTTGGGGTCCCATATCCCATAGACCTTGCGTCCTAGGGTTCCAACCTTGAAGTAGCTGGTGAGAAGCCCACTGGCATCGTGAATTAAGAATACCGGTGGCGACTCATTCCGAGATCTTGGGATGTCTTGGATCAACACCGGGTTGGCGGCGGGCATTGTGGCAAAAGTGGTGTACTAATGATGGGCAGGTGGGCGATTTGAGAATCGATGATGTTGCTACGCCAGTTCGAGGGGATATTCACAGAATTGAAAGTAATAATCTCTCCAAAGAAGACTGTAGCCTTCAGACCAAGTGTTTGCTCCCCATGAATCGACAGCCAGGCTGGTGTGTTGGCCCACTCTCCCTGCGGTCCGAAATATGGCTTCAACCTTATCCGCAGTTGTATCCGAGCTTCTTCAATGTTCCAGCTAAGGTTACCCACCACATCCATGCCAAAGAACCATCTTGACTTATCAACAGTGCTGTTCACAGCTACTGGGGCCTCGATATTCAGTATCATCCAGCGATCGCTGCTCGACAACGCACATTCAACCAACTCGTCTCTCGAAATGGAGAAACGGGCCTTCCTCCCGCCACAACCGCAGAGCGAGGGTTCAAGCTCAGAACGAACCAGCTTCCACGATGAAACCGATTCAGTGGATTATAGCGCTGCTGTCCCGCAGAAACGAAAAGCACGGCGCAGCGGTATGTGGGCAATAGCCGGAAAACTCGCCTTCATACCCCTAGCAGTTGGGATATTTTACCTGGGGCGAATAACTCACGACATGACTCCCGCACGACCAGCAGAGCCTGTTTCGCTAGGCAAATGCTCCCCGGACTGGAAAGAGTCCAAAGCCCGAGGCTGTGTCTACGATTTCATGCTCTCCACATGGATGCATCCTAAGTGCTTCAATGAAGAGATGCACGAGAAATACTTGGGTTATATGAAATGGAGGAACACGACGTATTGGTACGAACGAGAACGTATCAACGAGGTTCCATTTGATGTGGCTGCCAGTGGTGAGCACGGCGAAATTTTTACAGACGGCACCATCCATCACATGCATTGCAGCTATGTCTGGGATAGGATAACGTATGCGTCGCATTTCAAGCCTCGAGTTCTGGACTCTCTTTGCCGAGACCCGAAGCATGTTGAGCACTGCATCTTGTACAACGGAATCCCGCAGTCGTGGGAAATCGACTTGCCAAACATCACTAGGGTATACAATGAACCTCACGAGGTGGACTGCTTGGTCGGTTAGGTTTTGAGAGGTGTGGAAAGAGCAGGGTCTGGTCGGAGGCTGTGATGCGTCATTTGATTTATACAGCGCATACAAGGGGCTTCTACCTCACTCAGATAGCCCAGCATCTACAACAGCATTGAAGTTGAGCGGATGCAAATGTCACGTTAAATCAGGACACCTAAGGTACTTGAGCTAAGGCGATTGAGAAGACGTGGAAAGGAGCGTTTAGACAATGACATTTGACGCTAAAAAGGAAGTCTTTCAAAGTGATGCGATCCATTCTAGCTACTTCCATATCTAAAGTTGGTACTCTGTCACGGTTCTCCTTCAAATGGTATGAATACCGCTATCCTTCCCATGCACTCTCGCCGTTGCCCGCCATATCTCAGTGTGGTCTCTGCTGAACCTGGTGCACTAACTCAAGGCCTCAGTTCGTATCTATGTGCCCCAGCTCATGCCAGACCGACCTTCTCCAACTCAGAAAGTTCTGGGAAAGGAAGAATCTCAGTGTTGTTGTCGTAGCCCGCCCCCTCAGGCGCGATGTTCTTATAGCGAATTCCCCTCACCGGATCGTTCGCCCACTTACGCAGCGCTGACCAGTCCCTGCACATGAATTGCTGGTCATCCGTTACATGCCCGACGGCAAAGCCATTCACGTAGGTCATCGGCGTCGCATCGGCTAGACACATGATGGCTTCGCGGATCGCATTGAGACAGTGGGCTATATGCTTAGGAGCCCACTGTGACGACACGTTGTTTGCCCTATGTCCATACTCCTCTGCAATTGAGATCTACCACAACGTTAGAAAGGTTGAGGCTCACAAGTAATGCCGAAACTCACGAGACAATGCATCTGGTGGAAGGACCGGATGATGTACGTTTGTCGATATGATACTGTAGAATAATAGGCTGGCAGCTTCGCCACAGTGCCATCCGGCTTCTTCCAATCCGCAAAGTTCCCGTTCACGAGGACATTTGAGGCTGGCAACGTATTAGCAGTGTGCTTCAGATTGCAGAGAAGATAGACGCATGGACTTACAATTGTGAAGGCTCTTCAGTCTTTTCGCCATCATTTTAGTCTTATTTAAATCATAGAAAGTGTCCTCATCGATATAATAAGGCGACGTGCTGTCGAACAGTGTCCACCTCGGGGGCTCACCGATCCCTAGAGCCTTTTTGTAAGCCAAGCTATTCCAGCGCGACTTGACGACAAAGTACTAAGGGAAGAGACAACTCACCAGGAGGCACGAATCCATTCGGGTCGCTACCTATGTGTCCCTTCCCACAATTAAGTGACGCTTTGTCATATGAAACTCGATCTACCACCGCAAAGACGGTCACAAGAAGGAGCGCTACAATGGTGATCAGTAGACTTGCGCGCAGACACCAGACGTTGCTCTCCAGCGCCGCCAGTTCACTGCGTAGCTTTTCTTCCATGCCTTCTTGCTGGTCGTCGTCGTCAGACTGGCTTGTGCGTACAGCGTTGTATTTTGGCGTAGCCTGCCAGAAGACCGATCTCAGCTTCTCCATGGCTCCCAGTTCATCTGGGTATGCTACAAGACCATGTCAACAATCGATTATCACTCTACGGGCATGGAATTTACGAACACCTCTCTACGATGGCCGGGGTGACTGATGACTTCACTTGATACTGAAAGAGCGTGAAGTTTAGCTAGTCGGATGATCCATGTGCAAAACTGTCATGCTACAGCAAGTCAACTGAAATTTCGGTTGGGTATGATGGTAAGAAGGCTTGCCCGCAGCGATCGTACCCGCTAGTCGGATCCGGTCCGAATTACAACATGGCGCTTCTTGCGGTCCGAACCTCTATCCAGGGGCTTGGAGGGGTTCGCCAGGGCAGCAGCCATGTGGAAATCCCGCTCACACTTCGAGTCGGTCTCTTTCCATTTTCCCACTCGAATTAGATCACGCTGAGGGTAAGAGTGAGCTTTCGTCACAGGAATAGAGAAGCTGAACCTGAAGCTGAAGGTTCGCCAAAAGAAGGAAAGCCAAGGTGTCTGTCTGGTACTTTACCTATTCCATTGAACTACCGATCATCACACTCACAATCACTGCCACAGGAAGCTGTTTTCCAAGCCAAGCATTAGCAATGTCAAAGCCCGAGCCCATAGCGATTTGCGGCATTGGTCTGCGGTTACCTGGCGGCATCAATACCCCAACTTCACTGTACAATTTCCTCATCAACCGCAAAGATGCGCGCTCCAAACCAGATCGTCCGCGATACCACTCGCAAGACCACCACTTCACAGCGAGCGGCAAATCAGGACCTTTACCGACAGAGGAAGGATACTGGCTCTCACACGACGATGTATTCAAATTCGACCCGTCAATGTTTTCTATGAACCCCAAGGAGTTGCTGAAACTAGACCCTCAGCAGCGGCTGCTTCTGCAAGTCGTCTGGGAGGCGCTGGAGAGTGCTGCAGAAACAGATTGGCAAGGGCAGAGGATTGGGTGTTACGTGGGCAGTTTTGGAGATGACTGGCGAGAAATGCACGCCATTGATGCTCAAGACGATGGCATGTATCGCTTGACAGGATACATGGATTTTGTGCAGGCAAACCGCATTTCTCATGCATTCGATCTTAGAGGCCCAAGGTGATTCTCTGCTTGTGTCGATTTGAACATTTCCGCGTGAACTGATCATTTTTATCAACAGCATGACCGTCCGCACAGCATGCTCAGCTGCCGGTCTAGCAGTCCACCTAGCCTGCCAGGCAATACGTGCCGGCGAATGCGACTCCGCAATCGTTGCCGGGGCGAATTTGATACTCTCGCCAGGCTTCACCAAGCTCATGGCCGAGCAGAGCGTACTTTCGCCCGATGCTTCGTGCATGACGTTCGACGCCAGTGCAAATGGCTATGCCCGTGCAGAAGCCATTAATTGCCTCTACATCAAAAAGCTCGACTGCGCGATCCGCGACGGGAATCCGATTCGTGCTATTATTAGAGGGTCAGCAACGAACTCTGACGGGAGGACCCTTGGCTTGACAACACCCAGTGCACAGGCACAGCAGCAATTGATTCGTGATGCATATCGACACGCCGGTATACCAGAAAATCAGATGTGGCAGACTGCCATGGTCGAATGCCACGGCACCGGCACGGCTGTGGGCGATACCATTGAGGCGTGCACCGTTGGCGCTCTGTTCGGAGACAAGGGGATGCTTATTGGATCAGTGTGTGCTAAGGCTTCCTTTCACGAATAGCTGTTGACATTCCCTTAGATCAAGCCCAACTTAGGTCATTCAGAAGCAGCTTCGGCAATTTCAAGCATAATTAAGGCAGTAGTGTCTTTGGAAACGAGAACAATCATGCCCAACATCAAATTCGATACTCCTAGTGTCAGCAGTAAGTTCGTTGGGTTCCTCTATGGCAGTAGCGGGGGACTAATCAGTACCAATAGTTCCCTTCACATCAACAGGCTTAAAGGTGCCAACAGAACCACAGCCCTGGCCTGAGGAAAGGGCAGAAAGAATAGGTGTCAATAGCTTTGGAATCGGCGGCACCAATGTCCATGTATGTCACTTCATCAATAGTCTTCGGGCTCGAAAGCTGATATGACCAGATAATCTTAGAATCTGCTGCAACAGTAGGAAGTTCGGCAACGGTTCGAAGCCATGGCAATGTCGAGACGCCACCTCCTTCACCACCTCTGAGGAGAGAGCCAGCGACTCTGCTACTATTCTCCGCGGGGCACGAGGAGTCACTCAAGAGGACCGCACACGACTACCAGGAGTTCCTCCGAGCCAGGCCTGCAAAGTTGGAAGATCTTTCATACACGTTGATGCATCGTCGCTCTCACCTATCGCATCGCACTTTTGCGGTCGTCACCGATGACTGCGACCAACTGGCTTTCACCCTTCCCCCCGTGCCTAGTTTCCGACCAGGCTCACAAATTGAGGGGATTGCTTTCATTTTCACCGGTCAAGGCGCTCAATGGGTGCGGATGGGATCGCATCTGATGAAAGGTGGTAGTAGAGACTTCCTGCAGGATATCAGGGAAATGGACGCGGTCTTGAAGAGTCTTCCGCGAGAGCACCGTCCAAGTTGGGATATCAGAAGTCAGTGCATCCCTTCCACAAAAATCACCAATGAGGAAGACTAATCAACGGTGACATGTACCAGATGAGCTCATGAAATCGGATTCTACCTCCCGCCTCGGGGAAGCGGAATTCGCCCAGCCCATTTGCACTGCAATCCAGATTGCCCTGACCAGGCACCTTGCTAGATATGGAATCGCCCCCAAGGCTGTCGTTGGTCATTCCAGCGGTGAAATTGCAGCTGCGTACGCGGCCGGTGTCCTCACCCTGAAGGAAGCGATTATTGTCGCCTACTACCGAGGGTTCATGGTCAAGGAATCCAAAGTTCAAGGTTCTATGGCTGCCATTGGACTTGGAAGAGAGCAAGTCACGTCATTCTTGACGACTCGAGTCGTCATCGCTTGTGAGAATAGCAACTCTAGTGTGACTTTGTCCGGGGATACGGACGCCCTTGAGGCAGTTTGTAGTGCAATCAGGTCTGCTCGACCAGAGGTTCTAGTTCGTTTGCTAAAGGTTGACAAGGCATACCATTCTCGTAAGTCCAAACAGAGAGCCTGTCTCTTGAGTTTTTACTAACTACCTCTTCTTCTAGATCACATGCGTGCAGTTGGCATCGAGTATCAATCTCTTCTCAAGACATACTTGAGGCCGAAATCGCCAAAAGTCCTTTTCTACTCCAGCGTCTCATCCCAAACACTCGAACGAGCCTCCGACTTTGGCGCCGAGTATTGGCAGCGAAACTTGGAATCACCAGTTCTCTTCCGACAGGCTGTGGTACGACTTCTCCAAACTTCGTCAACCACATTACATCTAGAAGTCGGCCCACACTCAGCGCTAGCCGGTCCCTTAAAGCAGATTTACACGGAGATGGCCATCACTCCGTCTTACTTAGCCGTGCAAAAACGAGGCTCAAATAGCGCAGCAGCCTTCCTTGCTGCCATCGGCGAGATGCACTGCCGAGGCGTCCCCGTCAAATTTCCTTTACCTGATGGGGCGCGGCCGTTGACAGACCTGCCACCGTACCCGTGGCATTTGAGCAAGACCTTCTGGCCGGACTCACGGGTTACCCAGTCCTGGCAGTATCCCGAACACTCGCCACACGAGCTGCTCGGATCACGCTCTTTAGATAGTACAAGTACAGCCCCGAGTTGGAGATGTCTTCTGTCACTGGACAACGTTCCTTGGATTGCGGACCATTGCGTCGGCTCGGATGTTGTTTTCCCAGCTGCCGGGTACATCGTGATGGCTGGTGAGGTCGTCCGGCAGCTTTCTGGGCAGGCGCCCTACACCATTCGTGACTTACGAATCGCCAATGCTCTTGTTCTTCCTCGGGGGAACAAGATCGAGCTTTTCACTTCTGTGAGAAAAGAAGAGCTCACCCGTGAGGAGACTTCGGAGTGGTGGGAGCTCACTATCCAAAGTCGTACTCCAGCCGGCATATGGACAACGCACTGCAGATGTCGTGTCAGAGATGGTCGCGTCTCTAAGGAACCGGGTTTCCCCGGACTTGATCCAAAGTCTTTCCTCCGTTCTGTTGAGCCTGCACAATGGTACAAAGCCATGTCACGGGTGGGATACAGATATGGCCCAAAATTCCGAGGCATGAGGAAGGTTCGCACCAGCGTCAGGTCGCCAGCTGTATCGGTCGAAGTTTCTGATGAACGAGAAACGCCAGAGCATCAGTACGGCTATGTCTTACACCCAGTCACGATTGATCTGATGCTTCAGTCCCTCATCGTCGCGAACCACTCCGGGGAACCTCGCTTCCTTCAAAGGCTGTATCTGCCGACTCATATTGATGAGCTATTCGTCAGCTCGGAGGCCTCAAAGATGGGTCTTCTGCTCCAGAGTGTCAAGTCTGGTAGTGAGGGAGACTATCAGGGGGATTGCTCTGGCACATTGCGCGATAGTCCCGGAGATGAACCAGTCGTCTTCATGAAAGGTCTCCGACTCTCTCCGGTTGACCTGGACCATGCTACTGCAGGCGCCACGGATAGTTCAAAGGTTGCAGTCATGTCTTGGGAACAAGATATTAGACTGGCGCATGCCACTGACTTGGTGTCAGCGGCATCCGACTCCTCATTCCCAGAGACACATCAGCTACTCGAAGAGCTTTTTGTACTTTGCGGCACAATGGCACTCAAGGAGGTAGACGAAGCAGACATACCGATCACCGAGGCCCAAACACATTTAGCAAAGCACTGCAGGTGGCTCCGATTCCAGATCACTAAATGTGACCCACAGCTGCTTCAAAAAGATGCTGTAGAGATTCGTGCGAAGATCGAAGACATCACCTCGAAACTTGAGAAGACAACTGCATCTGCTGTGGGCGTTCTTATCAAACGTTGCTATACACATGCCCACGCACTCTTCGACGGCACAGGTAGCCCGCTCGAGGTTTTTCTGAAAGACAACGCCCTCCACGAACTCTATGACTGGATGAACACCCTCTTTACCTACAAGCCTCTGTTACAACTTTTGTCTCACAAACGAGGTCGCCATCTCAAAATTCTCGAGATCGGCGCCGGAACTGGGGGGTTGACTTCCCGCATTCTCAAAGATTTGGCGGACTGCTTCAAAGATGGCAAAGTCCTCGGGACCTATGTCTTCACAGATGTCTCTGCTGGGTTCTTCCCGGCAGCGAAGGAGCGTTTCCGTGACGTTAGTCCCGGGTTCCTGGACTATCGCGTCTTGGATATCAGTCGCGATCCAGCTGATCAGGGGTTCAGCGGTGAAGAGTACGACCTCATCGTTGCAAGCAATGTGCTCCATGCTACTCCGAAGCTGAATGAGACCTTGCAGCATGTCAGGTCATTGTTGAAGCCTGACGGAAGACTCTTGATGCATGAGCTGTGCTGCAACACAAAATGGATCAATTTCATCATGGGTTACCTTTCGGGATGGTGGCTCGGCGACTCTGACAACCGCCCAGTGGAGCCTTACATTTCTCCAGAGCAGTGGGAGGAGCGTCTATTTCAAGCTGGCTTCTCATCTGCGGAGGTTGTCTACGATGCCGGGCCGCAATACAAGCTTAACGCCACGATCATTGCTCGTCCTGCTGCGCCGAGCCAAGGCATCAGTCTCACTTCACAGCAAATAACCTTGCTGTGCGAAGAGCAGTCACACCCAGTGGTAACTGAAATTGAACAAACCTTGCGGCGTCTAGGTCACTCTATCACCATTTCAAATCCTGAATATGACGGCTCACCTGCCGGCAGCATCGTGGTATCCGTTATTGATCTGTGCCGCGGCGACGGCTATTTCCACGATATGACGAAAGTCAAGCTAGATAACCTCAAGAGCCTACTGAAGACTCTTCGAGACACCAACTCGAGCCTACTCTGGCTTTCACGACCCTGCCAGCTCGGGTCGGTCGATCCGACCTTCGCTCCAGTGCTCGGCATCGCGAGAACAGCAAGAGTTGAGGTTGGAGTACATTTTGCTACAATGGAGCTTGACAGCGTTACTGCAGATTCTCTAAAGGCTGTCTCCCAGGTCGCAGGCCGACTTTGCTCCCAACGCGCGGCCTTGACTCCGAATATGGGTGAAGATATGGAGTTCTCCTACTCTACGGGTCGCATCCTGATTCCGCGATGCAAGTGGGCTCCAATCTCTCGCGCTCTTGCGTCCCAAACTTCAATCTCTTCAACAAAGATGCTGCAGGTCTCGAGGCCTGGGGCCCTACAAACTCTAAAATGGGTTTCTTGTCAATTGCCCGACGATATACCGTCCGACCACGTCAAGGTTGATGTCCACGCAGCAGGTCTCAACTTCAAAGACGTCGTCACTGCAATGGGCCTGATCAAGCCTTCGGCTCCAAGAGGACTCGGATGTGAAGCCAGCGGTATCGTGACGGCCATAGGAGGTTTTGTGACGAACGTTCGGGTTGGCGATCGCGTCATGGTTTTCGCGCCCGAGGCGGCCTGCTTCTCTACGGAGATACTGGCCCCAGCACAGCTCTGCATCCGCATTCCCCATACACTTGCCTTTGCTGACGCGGCTGGAATGCCCTGCATATTCACCACGGTCCTTCGAGCCCTGGTAGATAAAGCCGGCCTTAGGGCTGGTCAAACTGTGCTCATCCACAGCGCCGCTGGTGGTGTTGGCATTGCGGCCTTGCAAGTAGCTCGATGGATTGGGGCCAGAGTCTACGTAACTGTGGGCAGCGAGGAGAAGGCAGATTTCCTTGTCAGAGAGTGGGGTGTTCCTACAGAACAGATCTTCTCATCTCGAGACGTCAGTTTTGTGGAGGGTGTGAAAGCAGCGACAGGTGGTTTCGGTGTTGACGTCGTGTTGAACTCTCTGTCTGGAGAGCTTTTACATGCATCATGGGATTGTGTCGCCCCTCATGGCACCTTCATCGAGCTAGGGAAGAAAGATACTCTAGCGGGCGGTAAACTTGCTATGGCAGCTTTCGATGGGAATCGGTCCTTCATTGGCGTCGAGATGGCGAATCTGGCTGCTGAGAACCCTGCCATCATCTCCCGCTTGCTACAGAAATGTGTGGACTTGTATCAGCAAGGTTACATCCATCCCGTGAAGCCTGCAAAGGTTTTCACGTGCAGTAAGACTGAAGATGCCTTCCGATACTTGTATCAGGGTACCCACATTGGAAAGGTGGCCGTCGACATGACCGAGAAAGATGCCGCGGCATTGAAGGTATCTCAAGTGCCTTTGCCTCCCAGCTTCCGTGAGCAAGCTACCTATGTACTTGCCGGCGGCATGGGTGGTCTGGGAGCAACGATAGCGCGATGGATGGCCTCCCACGGTGCCAAAAGTCTGCTTTTCATCTCGAGGTCCGCCGGACGCAGTAATGACGATCAAGCTCTGCTTTCAGAACTTCGTTATGCAGGTTGCGAGGTCAATGCCATACCATGCGATATAGCAGACGAGACGTCCATGCAAGCGGTCATTTCGAGACATGCTTCATCCAAACGGATCGCGGGCGTACTAAATCTAGCAATGGTGCTTGCCGACGGTGCAGTCTCTGACCTTACACTGTCACAGTGGCAAACTGCGACATCGCCCAAGATACGCGGGACATGGAACCTTCACCGCACGCTGCCTCATGATATTGACTTTTTCGTGCTCTTTGGTAGCACGTCTGGTGTGCATGGGTATCCAGGCCAAGCAAATTACGCTGCTGCCAACACCTTCCTCGATGCGTTTTCCCAGTATCGCCGGGGTCTGGGTCTGCCTTGTTCAGTGATTGACCTAGGAGGCGTCGAGGATGTGGGCTATGTCAGTCGTACACGAGACGTTGAAGACGCCATGACGAGATCTGGATCCAAACTTGTTTCCGAAGCCGACATGCTCCGAGGTCTTCAGCTCGCCATCGCTGAAAGTCGACCATTGGCCACAAGCGCAAACACTGGAGCACACTGGTCAGCCACCAATGGGCAACTGGTACTTGGTCTTGACTGCAGCACGTCTATCAACGATCCTGGTAATCGAGTTGTGTGGAAGCACGATCCTCGCATGAACCTCTACCCAGATATTGCGGAGAATGAGGTGGCCTCTCGGAAAGAGGCTGGTTCATCAGGCTTAGCCGAATTTCTATCAAGTCTGCAGTCGCGACCGGAAGAGATCGAAACGCCCGCGTCAACAACATATCTCGCGCAAGAAATCGCACGCCGGATATTTGGGTTTCTCATGCGGGAGGTGGATGAAGGCGGGGTTGACAGTACTCTGTCACCTTCAGCGCTTGGAGTCGACTCTCTCATGACCATTGAGATTCGTAATTGGTGGAAACACACTCTTGGTGTAGAAATAAGTGTGTTGCAGCTGACAAGCGCGCAGAGCTTCGATCAGCTCGGGCAACTTGCGGGAAGGCAGCTGAAAGACAGGATAACGGCGCTCTCAAAGAAATAGGAATAAACGTAAACGCGAAGGGTGGGTGGTGTGAGACAGATGCGCGGAAAAAAATCATAATGTCACTAAAACATACCGCTACTACGCTTTTGTGCAATCATTCTCCCAGACTGCCATAATCTTCTCTCCATCTTGAACTGCAGTTGACGGTGCGGTGCCGGCCCGGAAGCGGAGTATGGGGCCGATATGATCGGAGCCATGTTCCGAGGTGGGGTCTTCACCGGGTCGGCATATTCGGTCAGCACCATGCGGAGGGATGACTCAGCTCGGTGAAGCATGGAAGAAAAGCTCGAGTGGGGCTCTCCAATGGAATTGTCGTCATTGGCAATTCATCGAGGCGTGACTATTTCCACCACCACATCTCGCGCTTAGTCAATTGTTTACCAGCGGCCTAGAGCACGCCGCTCGGCCATGAGTGACGCCCTCTTTTTCTTACCTTACTCTATCTGAATCCAGTTTCGCGACAATGTCTAGGTCAGGAGCCTTCCGCCTGTGCGCCAGGCCGCGGGCTGCGGCGCAGATTCGAGCTTTCCGACCGTTGAACTTTTCGACGACCGCGTCTGTTCGAGCTGCCGAGATTCGCGATGTCTCCTCTCTCCCGCCTAGAGTTATTCCGAAATACCGCGACCCTCCGAACTCGACCTCTGGCTTGCTATCCCTACACTGGCCGACGCCTCCGAGGAATATCCTCTTGATGCCGAAGCTGCGATCCCCTCAAGTCCTACGAGCGACCATCGACTTTGCGAAGCACCTACAAAGTACATATTCTGGTCTGAACCTGATATTTGAGCCGAGAGTCGCTCAGATGGTGCACGAGTCCTTCAACTTCCCCATCTACACATGCGACCCATCTGCATTCCCGGACAGAATCGACATGATCACGACGCTTGGAGGCGATGGAACCATTTTGCGCGCCGCAAGCCATTTCAGCATGTACCAAGCCGTGCCCCCCATTCTCGCATTCAATTTTGGTACAATAGGGTTCCTGGCAGAGTGGAAGTTTGAGGAATACAAAAGGGCCTGGAGAGAGGCTTACATGAGTGGGAGTGGCGTCGCCGTGGATGATCTATTGACGCCACACACGAGAGTCGCAAGCGGAGAGAAGGAACACGACGTCAAGGATGGGGCTCAGTCTGGATGGCATGCGTCTCCTGGCAAGAGCATGGGACAGAGTCGGGCAGCCAAAATCTTGCTGAGACACCGACTACGCGTCGGCGTATACGACAACAACGGCCAGAACATCAGCAGCCAATTACTCCCAACGACGAAGTCACAAGCACACCTACCAGCCGAACACCCCGAGGACACAATACTTTCGAAACGTGACATTCCTCAACCGATCCATGCTCTTAACGAACTCCTCATTCACCGGGGGCCAAAGCCTCACCTTGCCCATATTGACATTTACCTTAACAACCGATTCCTGACGGAAGCTGTCGCAGATGGCATACTACTGAGCACCCCTACGGGCTCTACTGCTTATAGCCTGAGCGCCGGCGGTTCCATCATACACCCCCTCGTGAAATCGCTCCTCATTACACCAATCTGCCCACGAAGTTTAAGCTTCCGACCCTTGGTCCTCCCCCTTAATACCAAGGTCACACTCAAAGTCAGCAGCAAGAACCGCGATGGCGAGCTCGAGGTCAGTATCGACGGCAAGCGAAGTGCCGGCGCAGGTATCGGCACTGAAATCCGCGTCGAAGGAGAGATGGTCGGCGAGTCCAGCAACGGTGACTGGAAAGGAGGTGTGCCGTGTGTCATCTGCGGACCAGGCAAGGGCGACGCGTCGGACTATGACGACGATGGCTGGGTTGGGGGTCTGAATGGCCTCCTCATGTTCAACTATCCCATCGGGAGGTGAAATTGAAACTTATCATGATACCCGAATGTAAACTACAAAAGTCTTTCTACGGAGTTGGTGGTACTGGGGGGCACTTTGGTCAGGCCTTTTCTCATCTTTGAACAGTTCTGTTACTCCTCAAGGATTTGAGAATTCAGAATAGCACATCAATCATCATCATCGGCTACAATTTTGATTGCTCTGAGTAGCGGTCCATAAAACATCGGCGGATTGAGTAATACCTCTAGTCCTGGTGTATGCCCCTTGACTAAGGGTTCGAGAAGGCCGGAACGGTGAGGCTGCGCAAGATGCTACGACCAATAACCCTGGGAGAGCCACAGCCACCATTTTGTGCATTGTGACTCTAGGCTCCGGTCAAGGTAGGTACATGTGTTTGTGTTCAAGGCGCAGCTAAAGGTCGTAAAATAGCAGCCTGAAACGACCATCGTGAACATGGCAGTTCCAGCCTGGACTAAAGCTGTTAATAATGACCAAAAGATTGGAAAGCCAGGAGATTTGTTCAATACATATCACGATGTCGCTATTTGCTATTAATTAGTTGTGCTATAACATACAACCTGGTCTATGCTCTTTGCCTTGATGTACCCTCCATGTCAATAGAGTCGATACATTTGATCAGCCCCCCGATGGTCGATCCCTCGCCGGCCAAAAGGGCAGCTGACGCTTGTCACCGTCGTGTGACTATTAGAGATACATGCGAAATCACTACATCATCTCATGTTTTAGCTCCCTGGGCATCCTCACGTATAGCCTCAGCCGATTGAGTTGACTGTCTTCGATGTGACCTCTTTACATTAAGTCGGCCAAGAAATTGGCCAGGCTTGCGAGTGGCCAGGTCGGCCACCGAGGTCGCCCAGCGGTAGCAACTCATGGCAGCTATGCGTTGAAGCTAGGTATCACATTGCCATCAATTATCACATCCAGGGTCTCGGGAGTATGTGGTGGTCAACGCGTGTGCACTCTGCGGGATTCCCTCTCCATCGAGGTCTCTCCCTTCACACGCCCAAACAGGCTATCAGCGCGAATACCATGGGACGATCTGCCACAAGAACTCCATGACAAGTCTATGGCTACAGAGCCAAGACTCAAAGTTCCAATCAGAATATGGGCCTAGATGCAGGGCAAACGTGGCGCTGTGCTGTCCTAAAATTTGGGCATCCATGTAAAAGTTGCCTCTTTTGCAAGTCAATTGAGAGACCTAGGTTGGATTGGCCCGCCACCATAGTGAAGACCTGGCCGAGATATTGTTCGGAGGACGATTTGGTTACCTTCGTCAAGTCGAATTAGGACTTAGGACTTAGGATATAGGACTTTGATCTCAAGCACGAGATAGCCTAAGGACCGGCAAGGTGATACCTTTTAAGAGCTACGTTCTGGATGAATTGTCCCATACCCTGATGCAAATCCCAGTATTACCTCAAGATCTTATGGAAAAGTTTGCTGAATTTTCAACTGTTGGGTTCAACAGCACTTGGTCATGGGCAGTCATAAGCCGGCTACCGTGATGTTGAAACGCTGCCTAAACTCTCACCTAACGTACCCATGCGATTATGATCTAGGCCGTCGGCATGATGAGTTCGGCATCCTCGAAGACAACCGGCGCTCCTTTGCTCAATACTTGAACTGTGTCGGCCTTGGTGCCGCCCCGTAGCGGTTCTTATGGCTACTGTAGGCAGATGTCTACTTGCGCCGAAGCCTAGAGGGCAAGACAGCCTGGGACTCCCCGAACGTGGGTCACGAGTCTAATTCACCTCAACCTCGCATCTCAGCTCCAGATGCCGGCGGGGAAAGGCCTGACATGCAAGAACCTCGTCGGAAGGTCCCTAGTTCCCTCCGCCAGCAAGGGACGGGTATCCGGACCGTGTCTTTATTCGTCCACATACGACTTCCGGATGTAAAGGTAGCTGTCGCCGCCGACTCTACCCCACGCTTTCCAGCAGGCATCCACAACATAGCTCGCCTGACCCCGCCGCCGACGACGATGTGGTGTCAGCGGCAGCGGCGTCGAGCGGAGCAGCGGAGCTATGAACTTCCTGATGACTATATCGAGGTCTACGGATAGTCTAGTATACGGACGTAAGATTCGGATCTTCCCTTGGTCAGCCACAGCCTTTTCTAGGGCGCCTGGTCCCATATTGGCCCTAACCTCTCATTTGCCTCATGTTAGCCTAGCTGTCTATTCGGAACCCCGAGTCAGGATTATGACCCGAACCCGAATACTCTTGGCGAAGTTTATTCGAGCTTGATTCTGAACTGTACCGGCCGAAGGCTTGACTTCAGCCTTCGGCGTCACTTGCTTCGGTCTCTCCGCTGAGTCCTCTTCGGCCGTTAAACTAGCACACCATGCGAACATGAGTCCGTACAGCAAGCCTTCAGGGTCGCCAGAGCCAGCTAAACTATTTAGTTTGTTATCCCGACTGAGACTACGGACCATCCCTCGAGAAGCGCGTGCCCGCTGTAAGCCATCCCGCAATTCTTTGTTCCGTTCCTTATCCTTTGTCCGTCAGCCGTTGTACTCGTCGCACTTGCGCTAGGTGACATGAAATGACTCGGCCCGCTCCAACGCTCTAACTAACAAAGGCCGTCCAGCACTCTATTGACGCCCGTAATGTCGACCCTCGACGCGCAAAACATGGAATTTCGAAATTGGGCAGATAACAATAATATCGTATTCTTCTGTCTTCGCGAGTTGCTGTTTGGAATTGAGTGTAACGATCAAGCTTCTCGACTCGAGAGCTTCTCGAAGCATGCTGCAATGCTGCGCTGTCAAGGGTCTGCCGACTTCCTGGTCCCTCCGACTCGGCATTGTGCCGTGCGCTGGTTGGCGCCGCTAATATGGAAAAGGTTGTGCCGAGCGGCTCGGCATACTGTACCAGGACATGGGGACCTGTGCCATCCAGTTATCGACCCAAATCTGGGAGTGGACTTCGGATGATGCGACCCCCAGCTTCCGCGTAACTTACATACACTAGATTAAGAAAATTGCCTGCCGGAAGTCCCACTGAACGGATACAGACTTGAAGCTTCTCTCAGCATCGCTAAAGCCGTGGTGACGTTTGTGGAATTCGGGATTTGCCCGTGTCTTACCCCCACAACTTTCGCAACTGACTGAAGTTTGATTGAGTCCAGCTCGACCCCTGCGTTCACGATCCGCGCTTCTCTCCCTCGTCGTATACCCCTTGTCTAAGCAATATTTTAGTGAAAACATATCTGGAGAGTTTGGCTCTGACGCCTCCCTGGAGAGACGAGAAGCTCGCATTCTACGGATTAATGTCCATTGGCAGACTTGCAGGTATCCGTCATAGAACGCTAATTCTTACCCCAACGTCTCTCGGCAGGTTGCCACAGCCACTGGCGTTGCTCCAAGTCATGGAACTGGACCCCGACTAATCGCATGATCTTAACTCGCACCACGCCGTCGATGCTACTATACGTGCTAGCTATCCACACTCAGTTATCGCTTCGATTCACTTGTCGCGACACTTTTCTTCCTCCTTTGAGTCTCCCGTGCCGCCGATGTGGCTGACACAGCAATCAGATGGCGGCTAATACCAAGACCCCCCCTCCCCTGCTGACACCTTACCCTTCCCCACCACCCGTTTGACTGCTCGGCTACTGAGAACTTGAGAACTTGAGGTTCGGGGATGGGCCTTCTTTACTCTGTCTTTCACTCGGAGAAACAACTTAGATCTCACTACCGATCCTCCCTCCCACGAGACTAACAACTAGCTTCGCTGCAGTACAACGCAGGCCATGCAGCTAGGTGATATTCGCCTCTCACACAGCGAGGGAGAGAGCTTCGCGCCGGTGTCTTGCGTCTCGGCGACCACACCGAGTAAATTAGTGTCAAGCTCGAATCCGAATACAAAATGTCCAAGAGGAGCACGACCTTGGAGCAGCTTGCTTTCGAAGCAGGCCAGCGACCATTAGTCGACAGCAGCAACAGCAACGACGACTACGATCGGACGGAACCGCAGAAGTCTTCCAGCAAGATGACCCGGACTTCGATGGCCAACGTTTTGCTTCTGGCGTGCCTTTCTTGGGTTGTCAGTGCGATTTCAACGCCCAAGCTCGTCGCGTACGAAGAGAATGGGAAAAAGTACGAGTGCAGATGTTCTCCTGCCGACATTTGCTGGCCCAAGGCCGATGCTTGGAGTAAACTGAACAAGACCGTGGGAGGAGCTCTCCTTCAGCATATCCCGCCTGCTGCAGTCTGCTACAACACGTATCGTGGCATCGCGACTTACGATGCTGCCAAGTGCGCCGAGGCCACTGCAAAGTGGACGGATGAGAGATGGCAGTGAGTCTCATCTATGACGCAGAGCTGTCGAGGGTCAAGCCCAGAACTAATGGCGAACTATCAGAATCTCTCAACCTGCATCGCAGCTGTGGACGTGGGGAAGCAACAACACTTGCGAACTGACCACAGATCCCACAAAGACTTGCGCTCTCGGCAACTACCCTGAGTTCGTCATCATCGCCAAGACGAAAGCTCAGGTTAAGGCTGGCGTGGACTTTGCAAAGTCGAACAACTTGCGCCTCGTCATCCGCAACACGGGCCACGATTTTGAGGGAAGAAGTGCTGGTGCTGGATCCTTGGCTATCAACACTCACAACTTCAAGGACATCTCCTTCGTTGATTCATACAAAGGCCCCGGAGATTACAAGGGGCCTGCCATGACTATCGGTGCCGGAGTTCAAGGCTACGAGATCTCGAACGCAGCTCATGCCAGAAACCCACCCCAGAATGTAGTTACCGGCGAATGCGAGGTAAGCCTGGAACAACCCATCTTCCTTTATTTGACTAACGATTCTCAAGACTGTGGGAGTTGCGGGTGGTTTCATGGGAGGTGGTGGTCACGGTCCCTTGAGCGGCAACTATGGCTTCGGCGCGGACCAGGCGCTCTCCTTTGAAGTCCTCACCGCAGCCGGAGACTTTGTCACAGCCAACGTCAACTTGAACTCTGATCTATACTATGCTCTCAGGGGAGGCGGCCCGGGAAACTACGCGGTTGTCTTATCCGTCACTGTCAAGACATACCCCGACACCATTCCCGGAGCAGCGCTCTTCTTGAACGTCAACGCTACTACTGGCGCCAACTTCGACCAAGTCACCAAGGCTGTCAACAAGCTCAACGCGCTCGGAAACCAAATGGTTGACAACGGACTCTACGGCATCTATGAGCTATACCCGCCAGCGATCGGACCAGCACTGCACGTGCAGCCAATCATGGGAATGAACAAGACTGCCAAGCAGCTCACAGCTGTCGTCCAGCCGCTTCTCACGTACCTCGATACGGAAAAGATCCCGTACGACTTTGGAGTCAAAGAGTATCCCAACTACTACACTCTCTTCCACGACATCTTCGAACCCGAGCGCGCGGCCCAGAACGGTCTGACGGGTGGCTGGGTCTTTACCCACGACGACATGGCGAGCAACCAGCCAGCCATCGCTGAGGCCATTCAACTTGCGCTGGCACCGGCCCCGAACCAGTTCGGCATCGTTATTAGCCACTTTTTCGATCCGGGAAGTAATGAGAAGAAGTCCGAAAGCGCAACACACCCTAAGTGGAGAGGCGCGACCATGCGAACCATGGCTATCCTGCCGCAGGCTCTGGATGCCACCTGGGCCACGAAGCTGGCTCTCAATGATCTGATGGTCAACACCATCACCGAAAAGTTCAAGCAGGCTGGTCCTAATGGCCTTGCATACGTGAATGAGGTAAGCTAGTCATTCCCCTGTTCTACATAATACAACAAGTACTAATGTGCGTGGACAGAACTATGCCTTCATGAAGAACTGGCAAGACGCCTTTTGGGGCCCGATCTACCCTAAGCTGGCGTCAATCAAGAAGAAGTGGGACCCCAACGGCGTGTTCTTCTCTTGGTCTACACCGGGCAGTGAAGATTGGAGTGTTGTTGACTACGCGAACCGACTTTGTAAAGCGAAATGATTGAAGCGTTTTTGAAGAAGCGACTTGAACTTGGAGATACCACTTATGATGATATTGGATGAGGATACTAGATTCTTAGATCTCATGATAATACATGTAATGAACGGAATGACATCGTTGTGTCCGTCGATCTCTCTCTTTATGACGCGAGGCTCACTCGTTCCAGATGACAGCGCTGAGTCCATCCTCTTGATTCACAGTCCCTGGATTGCCGACCTTGAGAGTTGCAAGAAGCTTCCCCAGTCTACCCGAAGTGGCGTTTCTTTCCACAACCGCAACGTTGGCACTTGTCTGTCCACCGATAGCCACCATAGTTCCGGCATTGTTGATTGCGAAGGTTCGAGGGAAGAATGAATAAGCACTTGTTGTCTCAAGATATGTGATCAGGCCTGTCGAAGGGTCGATTGCGTAGGCCGTGATGGAATCTTGTTGTGTTCCGAAAGATTGATCATTCCTGTTCGAGGTGTACACAAAGTTATCTCTGATGTGAACTTCGGCTGCCTTCGAACCAACTGGCGCAGCCTTTCCGGGAGGAAATGTCGACAGGGTCTGCTTCTTCGCAAGAACAAGGCAACCGGTTGCCGGGTAGGTAACCGACCAAGACGTCACAGAGTTGGATAACTCATTGACGGTGAACAGGAATGTCGTATTGCCTTGTGTTCTAAACGCTCCATGGCGAGGTCCGTCTCCGGGTCCAGTCGAGAAAGAGGGACATTGAGTCAGAATGCCTGACGATCCGATGCTGAAGACACGGATAAAATCGGCTCCCAAGTCCGCAGAAAGAAGATATTTTTCGCTGGGATCTGTGAAGACAGAGTGAGGGTGAGGTCTATCCTGTCGAGATGGCACTGGCCCTGGTTGAGACATGTTGAATGTCAGTTTCTGTAGGGGTTGACCTGTACCGCCCAACGGGAGTCCATAGGTAGATATTGTCGATGCATCGCTACAACATAGTTAGTCTAGGGTATTTGTCATGAGAAATGATCTAGTAATCATACTACTGTGCTGTTGCGATGTAGCCATTGCCAGATCCATAGAGCGTACTATGAAGCTCGCCTCCGGCTGTCTGAACTTGCGCCTTCGATATCAAACTTCCATCGCCTGCGACAGAGAAGCTTTTCAGAAGTGGCTGGCCCCATTGTACTTCATCCGGGATATAGACAATGTTCGACGCGGAGTCAAAGTCAAGCCATGCTGGCATGCGGTTCCCAGAGCTGACTGTACTCGCAATAGTGAGTTGGTTTGTTGACGATAAGTTCAGTGTGTAGAGTTGCCCGCTATAGTGCGAGGCAATCAGGGTCGCCCCAAGAGCTCCTCGGAGAATTGTGAGACAGACGAGGAGACCCGATGTGTTTCCCATTGTGCTAAGTTTCAAGTTTTGGTTGGGAGAACTCGGCCCTTGGCATTCACATTGTGGTGGGCTTCGGTTCTTGACTGTCTTAAGTCTCCTGACCATCGACGAGCGCCACTGCCGGCCCAGTTCCGAAGGTCTTGCAAACTCGCGTTTGCAAATTTACCCGACACAAGCAGCCGCGACAATGCAACAGTGTGAAGCCCAAAAGCGTTGGTACTTGTTCCATCCAGAAACAAACCCGACTAGCGCATCCTCCGAGATGCCTAATAAGGTAATGTCACGGAGCCCAGTACCGGGGTGCCAGGACAACGAGGTGAGGTGAATTGATCATAGCCAAAAAGCGGCTAATTGCAGATCACAATTCTTTTTCACTATGTTCAAAACACAATAGCATAACGGCACAAAGGCTTACAGGGCATTATGATGCCAACCTTCATTGCGTCCGAGCCGCAGACATCGCTTGACTTCTGTAAACATGAAGCGAGGCTTTGCCAATGAAACTTCAGGTGACTAGATTCACCTGGGCCATCTATTCCAGGCCGAATCAACCTACCAAGCAGCCTACCTGAACAGTGTGAGTCACTAAAACACATCAAACTTTCAAAGTTCTGGGAGCCGCACTTTCCCCGTATCAAGGTGCTTCATAAGCTGATATGTCGCAGACACCGGAGTAATGTTTTTTCCAGACGTTTATGTCGGCTGGTGTTGTTTGTAAATCGCGAGAACAGAAAGTCGCCTCCTTCAATTTCATTCCGCTTCTCAACGGCCTTACCATTTGAGCCTGACACTAGGTACCCATCAAGATCGCATTAGAAACCACCTCCTTACCAAATGGGATTACCAAAATGCTTATCCTGACCACAGGCTGTCACTTCTAAACCTGGCGAATAGCATTCATTTACCTGGATGAAGCATTACGGGATGGCAGAGGCGTGTTCGATGTTGTAGAGCAACTTCACATCCGAGGTTGGTCATTTGGCAACGGAGACTTGAGCTTCAACCGGTAAGGTCATTAACTACGAGAAAGTATGTGGTTGAGAAGATGAGCTAAGAATGAAAAGAACCCTAGACATATAGTATCTCGCTCCGCTAGCAGCCGCCGTGTACCGCTCCTCAGACAAGGGCGAGGGCGATGACTTTGACGGATTCTATGCAGAGCACCACGGGCTGCTCGACGGGAATATCTGGCGAAAGTTCTACTCACTTGCTCTCCTCGCGCAGCTAATATCAGCTCGCTTCTACCGGCTTCCCGACTTGCAGGACCTACCAGATTCAAGTGACCCTCTTGCGCAGCCACGGCACAAGGGAAATGGCCACCTGACCAAGCTTCCGCGGTGGGCACATAACGTTGTGCGCACCCATCGACGTCAGCCATCCCTTCCCGTCGAGACCATCACTCAGATAGCCCTAGCTACTCTCGAGCAGACCATCGCACGCTTGCGAGAGGACTATGTAAGCGTCCAGCCGTACTCGGATACTCAAGCTCGCTTCTGGCTCAACTACATGAACAGAGGGTGCCCCGGAAAGCAGTTGAAGGAGACATGGAACCACAACGAATTCGGTATCTCCGTCACGCAGGGACGTTTTGACATGTAGGCTTGGGAAAGACACTACTCGCGTAAGCGATGGGAAACTGTCCACATGCCGTATCTTGAGCAAGACTTAAACGACGCGTGAGAGCAAGATCAGCTGGTGTGTGTGGCCGGGCGGCGGGGTGGGTGAACAGGGGCGCAGCAGAGGGTGGGAGCCGGAGGTAGGGAGCGAAGAGGAGGTTGCGTTTCTGGCGGCTGTTATGATGAAGAAGACAGAAGGAATCGACATGAAAGACTTGGATTTTGGAGTGCGATCGCACATTCTCCTTGAAGTGATGTGCTCTGCTTTTGATGTCGACAAGGGACAGCAGGTGGAAGAAATTGAGCGTTGGCTTGGTTGCTGCGGGCAGGATTGATGAGAGCAGGGCCGATATCAAGAGGAGCGTCATGATGCGAGAGTACACATGATGGCACATACGACAACAAACTCGGCAGTGTATTCGAGAAGTGCTGATGGTCATGAAGCCATACTTGTGTATGAAAGATGGACAGTCTGACTTTGAAGAGAATAAGGGTGAGTTGCTGCGTCAGATTCTGGTAGAGAATGGACAGATACTAGCAAAATGGAAGCTTTCGGACTCTTCCAAAGAATATAGTTTCGATCTTCAACCAAGGAAGTAGAGCTAAGGCGCTATCTCCAAGTCATGATTCAAGTCTTGTAGCCCTAAAGCAAGCGACTACCTGACTGCACACGGGATGTACAGAAGTCTGTGGTAAGCTGCGAGCAGCTCCGGAGATGGGTGGAATACAAGATGTCTACTTAGGATCTGGACATGCCATAATCCATCACACCGCGCTTCGAAAGCGTGAAAGGAGGGTTTGACGGAGAAGGTTCAGGTTTACAAGCGACCCTTCACCAACTGCTGTAGATATTGGAGGGCCGTCTGACAATCTCGCACACCACCGAGTAGCTCGAGAACACACAGGAACGTGAGAACATTCAGGCTCTCAATGAGATAGAAACCCACACAAAGGTCAGTCGTAGGGCTGGCAATGCTGAGAATAACAGCTTGCGCGCACTACAGGAGACTGTCAAGTAGCAATTGGCAAACGAACAGATGAAGTCATGTATGAACTCCCGGTACCTAGTTGACAAGCCCCTGGAGACAGGCTGGTATCTTCAAGTTGAAATCCATCAGTTCACTTGTCATTGAGGCTTCCGCCGGCTCTTCGTCGTACGCATACCGTAGGAAGAAGTCCACAGGATGTATTGGGGGCAAGAATTTCGGGAGGCTGCAAAAACATCAAGCCCGCGGTTTTCCAGATGAGATTTTCCGTCATTCACTTTCCTCGGAGCATGAGGCCGGCCTGATACTTTGAGTTTTGTTGAATTGTGGTTCATTCAGGAGAACAATACCTTGCATATACGGTACGGGCGGTAATACCGAGTGGACAGATGAGAGGAAGGCCACCACTGTAGGCAAAACCGGCCACGGAGTACAACTAGGGAATGTTCTACTTAGTCGAGGTTCATGTAATGAGTCCTGTATTGCTAGCGCAGTAGTTCGTCCGGTCTTTTCTTGCAGGCGTCTATTTCTACTTTCGGCGCTCTTTAAAAAGAAGACTCTGAGACGGCCACCATCAATACCAGACTGGCGTGGGAGGCCGTGTGGCTTGGCTCTTAATAGGCTTGCCATTAAGGTTACTTGCGACCCCTCTCTTTGCAAGGGAGGGGCATGTATCTGGCAGATCCCGCCCAATATGACATCGCGCCTCTGGGCAAGCAGCGGCTATTGATCCTTATTCGCATAATTATCCGCGTCTCAAGATCAAATTCAGCGTGGATGCTACCCACGTGTTGATTTGGCGTTCGCGAGGGGCACTGCACCCCGCGGGACGTTAACGTCGTGGAGGGGACCCCTGTCAATCCTGTATTCAACTGCCTTATTGGGCTGTGCTTCGTAGCTTCGGTCGTCTTTCTCGCGATGGACAGGGAAACATTATTGAAGTATATAAGAGGCAGTGGTAGGTGTTGTGGTTCGAGATTTGTGATCAGCACTGAGTCTTGTTGCCTTTACCCCAGTCATTCGTTTCTTGCTTCAAGATGCAGATCAAGACCATTCTCGCACCCATTTTCCTGGCGAGGTTAGCTCTGGCTCAGGGTCTCCCCATTCGCGTTGCCTCTTTCAACATTCGATACGACGCCGGTTCACGCGAATCCGGCGAAAAGCCGTGGTGGGATCTCCTCTGCGGAATCTCCAAGGACCGCTGCCGCCAGCCCCATGTCATCGACGCAATCAAGAGCATAGGCACCAATGCACCCACAGGCGCCGTCACCGTCATCGGCCTGCAAGAGGTACTCGATAACCAGCTCAACGACATCCAGGACGGACTCGGCTCCGGCTGGGCACATGTCGGCGTCGCCCGCGACGACGGCAAGAAGAGCGGCGAGTACAACCCCATCTTCTACCGCACCGACGCGCTCAAGCTGCTCCACGAAGAGACAAAGTGGCTCTCACCGACACCCGATACTGTCTCGTCTGGCTGGGGAGCCGGCAGTAAGCGCATCGTCACCATTGCTGTCTTCGAGCATACTGCTAGCGGAAAGAAGTTCATCCACGCCAACACGCACTTGGATAATGTCAGCTCCCAGGCTCGAAGCGAGGGAATCAAGGTCGCTGTGTCCAAGATTCAAGCTGTGCAGACAACATACGGTCCCTTGGGTGTTTCGCTTACCGGCGACTTCAACTCTGACCCCAACGGTGATGGGTATAAGGCGTTGACAGGAACCGGTTTCATGGAGGAGTTGTATAACATGGCTACGCCTGAACAGCGCATCGGCCCCAATCAGTTGACGTACACAACCTTCGATACGACCAAGCAGGGAAGCCGCATCGACTTTGTCTGGCTTGGGCCTAAAGATGCGAAGAAGTACTCGGTCCAGCGATACGAGATCCAGAACAACCTAGTCAATGGCATGCTCATCAGCGACCACAGACCCGTAGTTGGAGATGTCACCTTGTTATCCTAGTCTCTCAGGCAATGTTTAGCTTTACGCAGTAATTGAGTCTCGATACCCAAATCCTACCAAATGTTTCTATATCTGGATCGCCGACTGTCATGAAATTGCAATACTCCATCGAGTGCTCGTTGCGGCAACCGTACTCAGCTTGACGCCAGCCTGTGTCCCTGATGTGCGTAGGGAGGGCGGTCTCCGAGAAACAGCACCAAAGCAGTTATTCGATGCTTTGTGTCTAGCTTTCGCGGAACATCCATGCCGCAAAATACGATCATGTCAGTGCAGAGTACGTCATAGTGCCTTGAGCGATGGCTCAGTCGAGAACTAGCTTCAAACAATAACACTTGAGCTCATAAGGTCTCACTTCCCCGCTTGTGGCGTTTGTGGCATTTCTCATTCTTGAACAAAATACTTTTGGATTTCAATACATCAATTAGACCTTGTTGATCTACAGGCAATTCAGCCCTCGACAGCTTTTGCATTAGCAGAAATTTGCCGAAATGGCTGTGCATGACTTCAGTAAGGAACAGAGAGACGTTTTCGATGATCAGCATCGTGAGCTCAAAGTTGGTCAAGTCTATCTCCATCCCTAACATACACGTAGTGCTCTATGCAGCTGACAGGACATATGGTCATCAAGGACATCTTGCGAAGTAAGGTAGGCGCCGAAGCTGGAGTTACCGTAAAGAGATTTGATGTGGCGATCTCTGAGTTCGCTTGGGAGCAGGTGCCATTGGCAGACACCCAGAGAGCTCTAGGTGAGGCAATTCATCTAGCCAACGACAGGAAATTCAGCAACATATATGAAGAATTTCTTAACGCCCCTCTTGGGTCTGAAAAAGAAGAAGCTAGGGCTAGAGATTTGCTCTGCCAGGCCCATGGCATTTCCACAACATCTTACAGACCAAGGAAAGATTGGGAGCTGGTCAGGGCAGCACCATTCATTGCGTTGCAAGCAGATGTGAGTTTCTGAAGTTCCCAGAGTCAGACATTGTTGTATTATGTTGATAATGGAAGCTTAAACTGACCCACAATCACGACAGTCTTATTGGAAAGACTCGCCCGAGAAGGTGTTACAGCTCGCCACCAGCCTGCAGGATAAGGGAGATAACTACGCTGAAAGTGGTCGCGCTAGAACTATGGATCTCGCAGCATCCGAGACCACGGGGAAATTGACAGAACTTCTGTCCCAATACTATGAATTATACGATCAATCTGAGGCGGAGGTTCAAGCTAGAAGAGCTCGGGGGACGACTTATCCTTGGAACTAGGTCGTTACCAAGAGTCTGGTACGCATGGTCTCTCCACTTTGAGCTCCTAGTCGTCTATCCAACCCCCTGTGGCGGATCCTTTGTATACACCATGCATGTGACACCTCACTCAGCGACTCATATGCTACCTCTCAGTCTTCTACAAATTTGGCAACTAAGTTCTCAAATACGCAATTTACTTAGCAAGCTGAGAAGCAGCCCAAAGACACGTTCGTTTAGGTTGGAAAGCCAACTGCCTATTTTCGCTTGTTTCGAGATGCAAAATCCGACATGGCCCCATCAATAAAGACCTTCAATAGTTGTCGGGCGCAGAGGATAAGCGCATGAGACACCGCTATTTGGACCCTGTGACCAACTACGCGCCCACTAAAAGCGCAGAAAGCCTAACCGAGTTACCCGCATGCCGATGACCGCTCAAAGCGCCGCCGTCTGAACACAGTCACACGAGATGACTCAGCGGAAGATAACGGAACAGTTTTGTTATCGTCATGGATAACTATGCGCCCTGCTGCTGCTCGCGACACTCTGCAAACTTGTCTCTCTTGGGGTTGATATTTTCTTGGTGGGTTTGCTACTTGCTTCGATGTATACCGATGTATTCTTTGGTCTGACAACTTGACTTAGCGCCTCTCGTTCTTCACCATGGCCGCGGTCAATTTGGAACGGCCTGCGTCACTATCGCAGAGGCCTATCTCGCGGGACGACGCATCCGAGATACTCGGCAGCATTAGCATGGCTGCCTTTCTCTGCCTCTTGGTATATCTCGCTGTTCACAGCAGTTCTGGGAAAATATACTAACAGTTTTTAGATTCCACAACTTGCCGCAAACTACAAGTTGAAGAGCGCAGACAGCTTATCTATGGCATTTCTGTTCATCTGGCTTTTGGGGGATGTTACCAATTTACTAGGTAAGATCACACGCATAAGCCCAGCCAACCTGATCTCGGGATATGTTCTTCCGAGCAGTCTTTCAGATGCATGTGCAGACCACATGTACTCACCTGGCACGATACAGGTGGTTTGGCGAACGGCATCGCGCCCGCAAGCATAGCCGTGACAACATATCTCTGCTTTTCGGACTCTACACTCATTTGCCAGTGCCTGTACTACAACTCAAAACGTCGGATTCAAAACCTCGTACAGCCCGGGACGCCGAGATCGCAATCTCCCGAGCGACGACCTCTTCTCGAACCCGCAGACTCTTCTGAAGACGTGAACTCAATGAGCCACTACCAAATTGCCTCTCCCAGCTCGAATCAAGTTGTGGACAAGGATGAGGAGACCGACATGAGCACTGTACGCACTCTGCACGACTGGCGGTTTAACGCCGCATGCCTTATCATGGTCGCTATCCTGGGGATCTCGGGATGGTTCGTGCTTCGCCAGTTTGGTTTGCTTGGCGGCGAGAGTCCTCCTGGAGCCGTGAGCGTTACGGAGTTGCCAGGCATTTCCGAATCGGTTGGCTCAGCATTAGGAGTCATCGGCGCGATCTGCTATCTGTGGTATGTGGTGATGAACTTGCAAAATGGTTCACCGACTGACCTAAGCATGCAGTGCCCGGATCCCTCAAATCATTAAGAACTACAGGGGAAAGTCATGTGAAGGTAAGTTTAACCCCCCTACTGCTTGTGATTTCATATGACCTTAAACTTTACAGGTCTTGCGCCGCTATTCCTGCTGCTGTCCATTACGGGAAACCTGACATATGGAATGAGTGTCATTGCGTACAAGCAAGACAGAGAGTATTTGCTTACCAGCCTCCCGTGGCTGATGGGCTCGCTTGGAACGATCGTAGAAGACGGCATTATCCTATTCCAGGTCCGGCTTTACGCGCGTGTCCAAGAGCCAGTAGAGTCAAGCAGCTTATGATTCTACTCAACTTGGAATGAAACCCACATATCATGATTTTGTACGATCTTGGCGAGAACCTAAAGACATTAATTTCATGACTAGTCAAGCGACTCGGGTCCTACAGTTTGACTCATTGCCGTTGTTTCTCGGTATGAGCTTTACGAAAAGAGCAACTTTCGGCCGAGTTGTAATATTTGTAGGAATAATGCAAGTCATTCTAACGGCCTGCAGCCAGTTGAAATAGTATTTAAGGCAACGTTATGTCCCTCTGAGTTGATGAACATCTCCTCGCCGTAGTCTCATCAACTCTTCTCACCTTGTCTCTCGCTTCGGAAACGCCCCAATCTCTCATTTTCACCTTCTCTTTCAATCAAAAGCTCAACTTGAAGTCAGTTCCGATAGCCGCCTAACATGCGTGTCATTGCCTTTGCTGCTGCTGCCTTGGCCTTCGCCATGCCCATTTCTGTACGTGATTTCCATCAAGGATTTTACAAGTGCCGAGCCGTGAGTCTGCCCTCTAACATGGCATAGGCTGGTGTCTGCGCGGCATTTGGTGTCTGCTCTCAGAATGGAATAATCAAGGACTGCACCTCCGGAAGTTGTGTTGGCAAGGTCGGAGAGTCCTGCACTCAATCTCTTGCAGGGCCCGTACTTTGCCCAGTCTAGGGCATTTAGGCGGAGAAGGAGACTATGAAACCATCGTTCGAGAAACCCAAGGGAGCTGTATGGTTCTGCTGCGGTATCATTGTTAAGAAGTAGCCAGCAAAGCACATCAATCTCAAAACTCTGAACATTGAAAAGTTTTAATTTCTAGAAGAAATATAACTCCGTCGTAGATAAGCCCCTATGTTTTCTATATCTTTTACAATTCCCCTTATCATGCAGTAATATGTTTAGCGCAGGTAGATGAGGTTAAGGCTACAGTCCAAACTTCTCAAAATGAATCAGATGCCCCCTCCTCTTCCATACGAACAGCGTGTACGCCAGACTTGCAGAAGTCACGGCCGCAACAGAAACCAGTGCGGGCCAATTGAACTGCGAAGGCCGGAAGAAAATTATGGTCGCCATATATGAAAGTAGCTCAAATGCATTTTGCCAGGCTGCCTCGACTGTAGAGAATCTGCCACGGCTCTCGGCTTCGACTTCCTGAATTCTCATGTTAGACATTTTCACACCAAAGACTTTCCATGGGCTGGGAGCTTCTTACCTCTTGGACAATGATTTGAGTACATAGGTCAAAGCCGCGCAGACCAAGACGGCTGATGATGACTCCAATCACGAGGCTGGTTGCCGATATAAGGGGGTTCGGCATGAAGACCCAGAAAGCCGCCAAGCCGCCTATCAGAGGAAGAACCTGGCAATTGCTCATCCAAAGGCCAGCGCGAACTTGTCCAATTCGACCCACAAGCCAAGGCGCAACCCAAGTCGCCAACACCTCGAAAACCACACTGATTGTTCTTGCAATGCCGATGTATGTTGCGTTGAAACCCGATGCGACCAGGTACGTGACCATCTGGCCTCCAAAGCTCAGCACTGTGAGGTATAGTAGAGAGCAGGCAAACGATGGCAAGAATGCGCGATGGCCCAAGTAGAATTTGAAGTCGGACGCGGACCTCTTGATATGACTCAGGACCTTTTTGCCAGGATTCACCGACACTGCCGTTGTTTCAGGGGTAGACGGTGGCATAGACTTAGGCTCCTGCAAATCAGGGTCCTCGTTATAGATGTTGGCAATGGCATAGTACTCGACAGCAACAGAAGCGGTGTTCATGGAGAAGTTGACGATGATCGCTGCCTTTGTGGAGAATCCGTCAATAAGAGCGATGAACAGTGGCCCAAGTAGTTTGCAGAGAAGATCGATGCGGCGCATCTGCGCATTGAGAACTGCTAGGGCTTCGATGTCGCCTTTGGCGATGACGATAACCTAGCCACCCATTAGAAACATGGAGTTGTTTGGTGAAACCAGCTCAAACTCACCCAGTCCTTCTCGACTGAAACCATATTCACGATGGAGTACAGCTTTTCGGCACAGGCAATGGATGAGAGGAGCGCAAGCAGAGCCGGACGTCCATAGTCGCCCAACGGCAGCCTAATGAAGAGGACGTAAAATAAGACACATGATGCTGACACTGCGAGTCGTTGGAAGACTGGGCAAAATTATGTCAACATTCAACAGTCTGATTAGTCGTCGATCTACATGCGCCTAGACTCACCGATGGATGCGCGGACAACTTTCAACCGGTCATTTTTATCAATGTACTGTCCAACTGTAGGCGCGAAGACGAGAGCCGATAATCCCCTGGCAAGCGCATAAAGCGACATGGGCAGCAGTGTACCCGGAAATATGGTCGCCAGGTACAGCACGGCGCCGAACTCGAACATCCGAGAATTCCAAGTCGAGAGGAAGTGCGATAGGTAGAGCCGGCGTGCGATTCGGGGATCCACCCGGTGGGTTTCGGAGACCGAGCCATCTCCTTGGCCTGCTCCATTGCCGAGAAGCGGCGTCTGCTCGTCGGGCCGGATGGCCTCTTCATCGGGGAGAGACTTAGTGTGCGTCATCGTTCATAGGAGAATTGCCCAAAGCCTCAGATTCGAGATCAGATAAGGATGGGAGAACTAAATAGTTGACTGCGTAGGAACCGGACAAAGCGTGATAGCTATAGGCCCGGGCAGGACCGCATCAGATAATGTACGGATAGACAGATCAACCTTGGCGTGGCGTGACTTCAAATGAACGGTGAGCAGGAGTTATTATCTAATAGCTATGAGAAGACGGGGGCAGGTGAAAACATTCCTGAAGCTCTGCGTTGCAAACATTTGGGTACGGAAACGTTGAGGTTCCGAACAGGGAGCTTTGCCCTGGTTGATGAGTCTGTGAGTGCGTGGGTCGAGGCAACGGAGGTAAATCAGGCTCCGCGTCCGTGCCTCGAATTGCTACTTTACGTAGTATGGCACACACCTCCATGAAACCAGATTCTGCTCTAGCAAGTCATCTCTCAACTCTGGACTGTTGTTTTCAACACAGTCTCCATCTCTAAGCTATCCGTCAGTATATGCTGATGCCTCTTAAACCAATTGCTTCTGGAAGATGGATGTGTTCCCAGAGCTTGGAAGGGAGAACATGGCCATCATCCCGTCTCTTGAATCATGTCCGTCCCATTTTGGTCTAGTGCCCGACCTCTGTCTGTCAGATGGAATCAAACCCTTTGTCATCGGAGCCAAGCTTTGTATAATCCCCGCTTAGTCATGATACGAGATCTTTCAAAACCTGGGGCATGGCCGCCGACGGAGCTGAGTTTGCTCCGTGTGTCCAATTCGATGCTGTCTTGCACCAACAAGCCCCGGCAGCTTTGCCAGAAGTACCGGCTCCCAGGGAGTGCTGATCAATGCCAAAATGCCACCAAAGCGAGCATGCGATATCTGCTATCGTAGAAAGGTGAGGCCGCTGAAGTCACTCGTATCCTAATGGTAGAACATACTCAGTCGCTGACCCATGTGCTTTGTTATCCCAGATCCAATGTCTTATCCCTGCAGAGGGGCCTCCGTGCGACTGGTGCAGCCATCATGATTCCGAATGCACCTTTCACCGTGATGCGCCACGAAGGAAGAAGAAAGCCAAGTCAGTAATTCTCAACCACTCTCCAAAGGATGCATGTTACTATACTGCGCCGTTGCTGATCAGTAACGGTTGTTTCCTTTAGGGTAACGTTGGGCGACGTCCAAGGTCTCAACGATCGCATACAGGAGCTCGAAGATGCGCTAGCCAAGGCAAATTCGCAGCAACCAACTCAACCAGACACCCCTAGTCGAGGCCAACCAACTTCAGCGATATCCGTATCCGAGGAGACTTCAAACTCAGTATCTGTCCAAAGTCCAATTCCAGCAGCTATTCAGAGCTCTATTGCTTTTTCCGAGCAATCAATCTCTCCACTGGTCTTCTCTCAAACCCCCGCCAGTGTTGATGACACTCACACAACACCACCAGCAGATGGCTCCCGGCCCGGCAGCTATGTCGGCCCCAACTGGTTCTTCAGAGGCACCCACGCATTCTCCGAAGACGGGCGCAGATGGATTTCCTCCAAGACTGGTCAAACCATCGATTGGAGTAAACTTCAGATATTCACACCAAAGCCATCACCTTTCGCGAGGAGACATGCGCAACTTTCGCGAGATCATTGCCAACTTCCAGATCAGGCTTCTTTAAGAGCGCTTTTGTCTTCGTACTTCATGTCATCTTTCCGCTTAAGATACCCACTCATTGACAAAGTTCTCTTCGAAGAGACAGTCAACGAGGCTTATGAAGATCCCGACAATATTTCACCTTCACCGATTTGTCTGGCTGCCCAGGCCTGCGTCTTCGGTGTCGTCAGCCTCATTACATTACTGCCAGACGCTCAGTCTGGTTCTCCAGGGCTAGACGGCAATGAGAGCGCAGCCAGAGCCAGCTATCTTCTCAGTCAACTTGTCGGATATGTAAGCCTCACAACGTTGCAAACAACCCTGTTACTGGTGAGTCGATCCTAGACATTGGCTTGCAGTAGTTCATGCAATGATCGGCAAACTAAATCTAGAGTCAAGCATGCGCAACGTCTCTTATGCGGTTATTGGCAAGAAGCCGATTCGCTACTACCAGGAGCTTGCCGTACTGTCGGTGCACTCGGTGGGCATCTTTATCAGCCCTCGAAGGCCCTTACAGTAGAGATTTCGCTGTGCGAAAGGAGGAAACGCCACATTAGAAACCTCTTCTGGGTTTGCTACATGTCGGATAAAGACTTGTCCCTACGGACAGGACAACTTCCACTTCTTACTGACATCTACTGTGATCTCACCGTCCCAGAAAATTACCTGAGCTCTTACACCTATCTGCGTGGTCTTAATGAGTATCTCCACCACCCAGATGCATCAAGTGATGAGGACCTCACACCACACTTCTCGGGAGACGCCCAATCGGGGTATCTTAAAGAGAAAGTATATCGGCTACTTTACTCGGTACAAGCCCTGAGGGACAAAGACAATCGACTCTTGATTTCAATCCGACAATTAGATGACGAGATTGAACGCTGGCGTCTGTCGGTCCCGGTGGACTTCCGGCCAGCTCTCTCAGTCTCGTCAAATACTCTTCTAATCACGCCTGAAACAAGACCGCCTCATGCACGACGATATTTTCACCTTCTTCTAGAGTATTGGTACCTGATGATCTACGTTCATACTACAGTCAGACGATATGATGCACATACGATAATCGGCGACGGGGGGCAAGATCTTCACCGGGTCATTCACTCGAGCTATGACTTATCAATGGAAGCCGGCAGATCGACGCTTCGATGTCTGCGAGTGTGTATGAATACCTTCTCTAATGAAGGCTTCTGGTCAGTCATCGTATTTCCTCCGGCTTCCTCAAACAGCGTTGAACCCATGCACGCAGTTAATATTCTTGTGTGGGTGGATGTCTAGCAACTAACGAAGTTCCTAGGCTTCTGATGTTTTACGCCACCAATGCAGCTATTGCTCTGTTTCTCAATATGATCATACACCCAGAAGATGCGGACGGCCAGCTCGATCTCGAGCTTCTAATTTCGGCCGCCAACGCAATCCGTATAGCAATCCCGCAGGCCTCAACACGTGAAGAAAGTATGCGCATTCAAAGAACGTCCGACTTCATCATGTGGCTCATGTGGCTCGGATCATGTGCCATCACCAAGTCGCAGGAAGAGGGATTACGACATGAGCTGTAAAATTCCAGCATACCCGTGACGGTTTTAGGAAAGACGCAGTTGGGAAGATGCCCAGCTATAAGAAGCGGCTTCCGCTGACAAAGCGGTGAACAAGTTCGTAAGGAGCGGCTTAGCAAGCCAAGAGGTTAGAGCTCCCCTGGCTCTCGTCTCAACAGGGGTGCCAATCCGAATAATTAAGCGTATTTATACTGCAGAACATACGTTCCCGAAAGCTTCGCTCTTACTGGCGGACGGGATGATGCTCAATGATACCCTAGATCAAATACGTGCAGGAGTTAATTAAGTTTAGTCGCGATGCAGTGTCATTCCACCCACTTTCCGGAACCCGAGTAATGCTGCCGGAGTCTCGCTTCTAAGCGGTATTCATGAGGTTACTGATCAATTCGGTAGCGAAGCTTCTATTAGAAACCCAGGAACCGAGCTATTCTGTATGGGTCAAAACAATCGTATTATACAAATAATTGCTTTCATTTAGGGCAGGTGGTGTTCCCATGGCCTCGGCAGCCCGGCCCCACCGGGAAGGATGAACGATCGGCTGAGGGGTTCAGCGACTTAAGTGACTTAAGCTCGACCTCAAAGCAAGTACTTGAGATGCGTAGTCGCCAGTGCTCTCCTTTCTTCTTGTATCGACATCACATCAAATCAGCCTTTAATCTCGTTCTTCGGAGTTGCTAAGATGTTTCAAATCTCATCCATCGGCCTCCTGCTTGGCCTAGTTGCGAGTCAGATCATCTCCGCTCAGGCGCAGTCTCTCCCGAAGCAACTCGCTGTAGTCCGTCGCCGCTCTGGTCTCACGCACAAAGAGTATTTGTACTACCATACACTAGTTCACGGGCAGAAGTCATGGAACGCACCTCGAGACGATTCCTTTCCCGCAGCCTACATCCAAAGCCATGTCTTTGACGGAGTCTTCGGTGCAAATAACAGCGTAGCGAACCAAGTCTACGTCGGCCGCGACGATATTGCCGAGCTATACAGTAGCTCCCCGACGTCCTTCTTGGGCCCACCCTCCACGAATTACACCGAGACGGTGATCGGTCCTGATGGAGCCAACTTCAACGACTTCCCAGTTGCCATGTCGATGATCGCGACGGAGACTTTCCTGACCAATATCACTGCGGGTGCCCCGAAAACTCCGGCGAAACCCGGCAACGAGCCTCCGGTTGCCTTCTTCTGGGCCATAGCTACGCAGAACGCTACATCGAACGAGACGTTTGCAAGGAACCTGGCGGATGCCCTGATCAAACCTTTACCCGCCGGAACGATTTACAACGCCAGTATCCACGTCCCTATTCCAGGCGCCGATGTCAGGCCTTACTTTGGTGGAGCGGACATGCCGATCATCAATACTGTCATCAAATTGTGGCTCAATGACAGTGGGTCAGCCATCACGCAGCTTCGGGCATCGCAAACAAAACTGGATAGCGCGGCACTCAACCTGGATGAGAATCTATCGTACATGCTCTTTTCCAAAGAGGTAACGATTTGGGACACCAAAGCCGGTATCGAGGTAAGTCGCTGCGGGCCATCGATACTCCGATATTTACCCCTGGGCCGCTTAGCTAACATCGAAACAGTTTGATATCCCGCGCCTCGAGGCTGTTTTGAAGGCCGAGAATTATTGATCACAGATCGTGAAGGGCAACAGACAGGGGTGGAGCCTCAACTGTTAGGCTATCAGTGAAGCCTTGCATTAATAAATACCCATTCAAATGGACTTTCGCTTTGTCCAAAATTGATCCCCGGACAGGTGGTGAGCGGCCGCCGCGATGTCGCATTCTGAAGTGTCGCATGGGGGCCCACGATGGTTGAAACCATTTTGACAGCTGGCTAAACCATCTGACCTTTTAAGGGTCTCTATTGTAACCTCTTAAAAAGCCCCGTTGCAAAACTGGAGCAGTTGACAAAAGATCAATTCCTTCTCAAAATCTTACCCATCTTTTCCCCAACCCGGCTAGTCCCTTGCAGGCTGCAGTCATCATCATCACTGCCAAGACGGTAGGCGCCCAGAGGCCAGGGCGCAGTCTCGACAAAACCCCACTAGAATTTACACCGCCCCTGTGAACAGTTCACGACTTCGGCCTCTCATACGTCATACAGTGTGGCGCAACTTGCAGTGTACCAAATTATGGGAAGTGCGCCGCTCGTATCCGTTGTCAAACAGTGAACTCGCGAAGATCATACCACGGGAACTCTGGCGTTGGTACAGCTCATAGAGCCAAGACGGGAATCCCAACCGTTCCGAACCACATATTTCAAGCTTATAATATCCCGACCACGAAGGACCCATCGCTGTTGAGGATCCCCATCTTGCATCGTCGGACATTATCTCCTAGCCTCAAGTTTTAAAACCTGTCAATTGTTCCAACAGTAAGAACAACAGCATAATCAACAACTACTCGACTTTTCAGCGACACATAAGCCTCTAGTATCGGGACGACCTTGCCTCTAAAGCAATTTTCCTGCACTGAAGTCATCTGCCTACGAGACTACATTGCGATAATATGTTAGGCGACAAAAGCGAGAAAGCGACTCCTGTATACTCAGGGCGTGATCCTGTAGCCGACGTTCCTCCTTCCTACTCTGAAGGAGTCCCGACTTCAAGTGATGGCCTCATCCCCGCCGGGACCCTCCTCCTCGCCGGAACAACCATTTTCAACACCGCCTCAGCGTCATCACCGCCATTATACGAACTCACTTACCCCATCGGACACCTGCGGGAGTCCAATACATCAGTTTCGTTCTACCGCTATGAGAACAGTGTACGGGACTCTCCTGGGGCATCCGGTCCTCAGGTAGCATCACGAAAGAAGCATATCTTCGACCTAAAGCGAGACCCTACAGTTACTGAGCCCCCCTTCCCATACCACTTGAACTCGGTCTCTCGCGGAAATGTTGGACATGTGGGCATCAGGACACACCGACGCTTAGGTGGATCGGGTTACCGCGCCTGGAGGGCGACGAGAGCGAGAGAAGGGGCGGATCTAGAAGGCAAGGAGATGCTCTTCAACATCAAGACGCGGGGCAGCGGACGGCAAGAATGGCGCGATGGGAGCGACAAGACGGTTCTGGCGCATGAGACGAGCGAGGAGGGGATCCACAAGCTACAGATCGTCGTCCCATTAACCCAAGATATTAGAGACGGGTTGGTCGCGACGTGGTGTTTACGACTTTGGTGGGAGATTGCCCTGTCCAAGGTCGAGCCTTTCAGCTGGAGCGAAGGTAAGTTGTTTAATCTGACTCCATCTGCTCAGTATGAAACATGTGCTAACTTGAATTCTTCTACGCTCAGTCAAGAATGTGTTGCAGTACAACTCGAAGAATCTCCCTTCCGGGGCGCGCTTGGGTCTTCTCCCTTAGTTCAGTCTGAATCAAGTATCTTTAAACCCATGGGAAACTCAAAAATATCCACCTTGCCTATGATAAACCAATATCAACCTCTACAATGCCCACAAACGATCGGCATGGCTCTCCTATCCGTGTAATGATGCGAACTATGCTTTCACCGACCGCCGTTTCTATCTGTCTGTGCAATTCTGTGCGATCTCTAAGTAGAAAGATTTATCAAAGAGACGCAAGGCGACTAGCCAGTGCATATAGAGAATTACAGCTTGTAGCTTATGCCCTATGATGAATTTAGAATACAGAATCCGAATCGAAAGTGGACAAACTCACGGTCTAGTGTAGCAGTACTGGGTGTCGACTGGCAAATTATATCCCCTTGGATCTCGGGCACCTTCTCTAATAAAGGTGATGATGGTTCCCACGCCAAAGTCATAGACAAATCTGGCAGCAGTGTCGCCCCATCTTCCTGCGGCATTCACCTCAAATGCGACTTGGGTGCCCGAGAGCCGAGCGACGTTATCGACAGTGACGCCCATGCCAGCCATCTCTGTGAACAAGGTAACTTGGTCATTGACCATGTTTACAAGTGCGCGAATGATGATATCTTGTGCAGTTGAGAGTGTGATGGTCCACATAACCTGGAGTGTGCCATGCATCGCTCGCTTGTCAAGGCCGTTGGCCTCGATTGAGGATTGCGGAATGGCAATGTCGCATCTCTTTACTTGAACGCCACTGTCAAAGTTAATCCGTTAGCATGTTATCTCATTGATCCATTGAAGAGCGAGAGTCTACATACGATCCATCTGGGCTGGAAACTTGTTGGAAGATGTTGCTTGTCTCAACACTGCATTGATCCTGTGGAGTTGCAGGCGCGGCGAGCGCAAGGCCGAAGAGTGGAATGTAGAAAAGAGCGGAAGCCTTCATGTTGGAGCTGGGTCTTTTTCCAAGCTTGAAGATCAAATAAAGAACGATAGTGATCAACTGCACCATTCAAGCCTCATGCGCAGGTTCATGGTATTATATGTGTCGACAGGCAAGGCAGCATGAAAACCCGCATCACAGAGGCTTAACAACGCACGTACCCAAATTTAATCAACTTCATAAAATTTGCTGGACCGGGCGTCTTGGACACGAAAACTCTGTCCACCAACTAGTCAGTAAGGAGCAATCTGTAGAGTTCATAGAAGCTAAAAATTATATTAAAAAGCGAAGAAAATGAAATCTGGTACCCCGAAGAAGCAATTGCATGACATGGAAAGATTAATGATCATAGTCAAAGTTGAGAAAGTCCAGAACACGGGGCCGGTCAGAGTTTACTAGTCTTGTACTCGCTTTCCGAATAGCCGATGCAATTAACTCACGGGTCGGCCAGACCGTTGAACTAACCATCTCTCTAGCAATACGGGGGAAAAGTTCCCGTCGGGTTGCCACCGAGTCAATGTGTCTAAATACTTATACCGAGAGGGTATCCCCACGCTGTTCATGGTCATTATACTCGCTGACTTTATCCGACAATTGAATTTTTCTCTTTCTGACCCGAAGAGTACAATATACTTTTTGGTTCTTGATTCACTGTATCTTCTCTTACCTTATTTTTATCAACGTATCAGACATCACAAGATGCGCTTCCAATTAGCTGTGGCAGCCATTGCGCTAATGTAGGATATCCTTCATTCTGCATACTTAGTAATATTACTGATAAGAAATAGCTCTGGCGCCGTAGCAGACTCCCACGACTACTGTGCTTGCCAGCAATGGTCCAACGGCCCCGTGGACCACGCCGCGACGGCGAAGGTTGCCGCGAAGCCCTGCTACGGCTACGTCTGGGGTAAGTGCTACTACATGTGTGTTGCTCGTTTAGATTTGATAGACTAACTGAATCAAGGTCCATCTGAGCATCTGGCGAGTTCTAAAACAGATTGGTTCGCACACAGCCCTGGGCCTCGTAAGGATGGACAATACGTAAGCCGTACCTTGAGGAAGGAAAATCGGTTGAACCAAGCTAACAGCACCAGCTTCAAAATATGATTAAGAAGTGGAAGATCGATGGAGACGACTTCAACAGACGGTGCCGTGATGCAGGAGCGAAGGATAGCACGTGCTTCTCGTGCTCGAGCCTTCAGGTGAATGGCGATGGAAGAGTGCAGTGCAACAGCGGTTAGATGAGCAAAAAGTGCGCAGGTGTAGGAAGAATTTGGGACAGTCATCACTTTAAGACTCTACAAAGTGTTTATTTGTTTTCGGTTTGATGTTCGGTCATTTGAGTAATGTACTTATTATCTCACTTTTCTGTCGCATGTGGTTATGAATCTGAGCTTCCCAGATCTGTCATTAACTCGCTGTTTGTTCACACCGTCCTTCTTGTCACTGGAGCGAGCGGCTTCATGCGACACTTTCTGAAGCAGAACTTTGGATTGGGTTCGTTCTTAATCTTGAGTACCACATCCAGATTATCATGCATTAGATATGTTACTACCTTAGTCACATGAAGTGTGGCCAAGTGTTGCATCGGGCGATCCCGATAAGTCGGGACTTCCGCTGGCATCTCCGGACCTCCCCCACATTCCCGCCGGCTGCCCGCCCTTCTATTCTCTCAAGCTCTACGGAGTACCCACGTCATGAGATACCGCATATCAACGCGACATCAATTCGTACGAATACTGTGATATTTGGTTAATTACGTATAGCATGAGCCAACTCACTATACACTTGATATCTACTTCCAAGCTCTCGCTGCGCCGTGCTGCTGCATCGACTAGCCACTACAAATACCCAGCTGTAGGGCCGCTCCTCGGCGACATCCGACTGCTTCATAGCCATAATCCGACCATGTCTTTGAAGCTTCCTATCGGAATATTGAGCGAGAGAGATAGGCTCGCGTGCTCTCTTGCCCTGAAAGGGTAGCTCATCCCCGAGGAAGAAGCAGCCACAATATCGAAGGCCTTCTTATCGCTGGGAATCTTGGCTCTCTTCTGCGATTCCGAGTTCAGCAACCAACAACCCACAGTGTTGCGCAAGCTCGGAGCAGCAGCTGGCCCAGCCTCGTCCGCCGGGATCGCAGCTGAACACACGCACGCGAGTTCTCGACAGGAGGAGCGGAGGTCAGCGCAACAACATTGACCTTCCGTCTTCGGCCTAGGTGTCCCCCCAACGTTATCAGAGAAAGTTCCTAAGCGCGGCGTAGGATTGGACAGCGACTGGATTAACGTTATTTGTTGCTCCTCCGAACCCCACAGCCCAGCCCAGAAGACCTTGTCAATCCCAAGCCGGCGGGGGTGAAGCGATGGTGGGAGGATTTTGGGAATCGTCAAGTTTCTTTTCCAGGTGGTCATTCCACGCGACGAGACGCACACTGCTTGAAGCTTGGATGGAAGCAGAAGGACGGACGAACTGTCAGACAGTCAGAGTCAAGGGAGACGGGGGCCAAGCCGGCCTGGCACAACATGATGGTGAGTTTGCCACGGGTACAATTGCCACCCTAGACCTGGATCAAGGTCACGTCGTGTTACCGAGGGAGTGTCTCGCTCTGTAGGCACTCTGGAGTGCATCAATTGATTTCCATGACGAGCGTCTAGTTGCTCCGCAGATGTTCATCAAGATGTTCCTTTCACACCGAACCAGTTGAGGCTCCTCGCCATGCGGTACCCATGCAAGCAAGTGATGACACGGGACCGGATGGAGAAGCAAAGCTCGATGAACTCTGCCCGGCACACCATTTGCCAACACAGGTTCGGCTGCATCCGTCACAGGTCAGACAAGCCCTTTCTTGGTCACCCTTTGTGGGAAGCCCAACGAGCTGAAGAGAGACCGTGATACGTAACTGACCGTACATTGGCCGCGAGTCGCATGGCATCGTCCGGAGGAACACTACACGACCTACCAAATCATGAACCCCGGTTCAGGTCCCCCAGACCCGTCCCTCCATGACAGAAGTCAAAGGGCGTCCGCCGGGCCAACGCGTGCTCCAGAAGAGGCAAAGGGACCGCTGATAAGCCAATCATCCAAACCACCACCGCAACGTGTATCTCACCCCTCATCTGTCCGCGTCTCTTGGCAAATGCTACTTCATCACCGAAGAAGCTGTCTTTCCCGGCATCAACCACTTTGCCAATGTCTTGGCATGCGGCCAGAAGAACCTACAACGGGGGTTCTTTGGTGTCTTGTCGTGTCTATCCAGCCACTCAGCGTTCAGAGAGAGATGCTTTCCGAGATGCAGACCCCCCGTTCGAAGCTGTCGCGCTGCGTTGCCTGTGCCACCGCCGTCACAATTGATCGCATGTGGTTCTTGTTTGTTCCACTCTCCAATTGCTGCCCGCAAGCTCTGGGCAGAAGCAAAAATTTGTATATATTCGCGCGGGTAGCTCCAGGAACCCGGAAAGAGGAGAATTGCGATCGTCAGTAGAAGAAAGTTTTCCTCCTCTTCCCCTCCAAGAACTCTGCGTGGCGCATACTCAACCGTGGCATCGTGAAGGCTTAATTGACTTCTCGCGCAACCTTGACATCAGATCGAGCTTGTTTGCGGCCTCTTGAGCTCTCTCTTTTGCCTCCCACCTTCCAAAGCTCGCAATCCCCTCACTCACAATGCGCCAGTCTCTCCCGGCGCTGGCTCTGGCCTTGGCCGGCGCCGCTTTTGCAGTTCCCGAGAAGGAAGACGGTGACCACCTTTACTCGTCTCGCCTCTCCAAGCGTGGCATCGACGCCGAGGGCAACTACAACATCTCCTTCTTCCATGTTAACGATGTGCACGCCCATCTCGACGAGTTCTCCTCCTCGGGCACCGACTGCACCCGTCCCGAGCGCGGCTGCTACGGAGGCTACGCGCGCATCAAGCACACCGTCGACGAGCTGCGCCCCCAGTACAACGACTCTTTGTGGCTCAACGTTGGCGATGAGTTCCAGGGCACGCTCTTCTACTCTTTCTACAAGGGCGAGAAGATTGCGGAGACCATCAATCAGCTCGGCTTCGATGCCATGACCCTCGGCAACCATGAGTTCGACGGCGGCGACGACCAGCTCGGTGACTTCTTGCTGAACCTCACGTTCCCCATTATCTCGGCCAACATTGTCTCCGACAACGAGAAGCTTAACAAGACCATCAAGCCTTACCACATCTTCGAGGACCAAGGCCTAGCCGTCATCGGTGTCACCACCACCACAACTCCGGGCATCTCCTCCCCCGGCGAGGGCACAAAGTTCCTCGATGTCGTGAGCACTGTGCAGTCCACTATCGACCACATCAAGTCCACCACCAACATCACCCGCATCGCCGCCATCACTCACATCGGTTACGAGGAGGACCAGAAGCTCGCCGAGCAGACCACCGGCCTCTACCTCATCATGGGCGGCCACTCTCACACCCTCCTCGGCTCGATGGAGGACGCAGAGGGCCCCTACCCGACGGTGAAGCAGAACAAGGACGGCGACGACGTCTTCATCGTCACCGCATACCGCTGGGGCGAGTACGTCGGCTACATCGACGTCACCTACGATGCCGAGGGCAAGATCCTCGCCTACCACGGCGGCCCCATCCACCTCACCAACACCACCGAGCAGGACGCCGCCCTGCAGGCCCAGATCGAGTCGTGGCGCGGACCCTTTGAGGCCTTTGCTGCCGAAGTCGTCGGCGTCTCCAACGTCGAGCTCGACCAGTCCCTCTGCCAGAAGCAGGAGTGCATTCTCGGCAACGTCATGACCGACGCCATGTACGAGTACCGCCTCAACTCCTCCGCCGACAGCCCGCCCGACTTTGCGCTTATCAACGCCGGCGGTATCCGTGCCACCATTGACGAGGGTAACATTACCCGCGGCGAGGTCCTCACCTCCTTTCCCTTTGGTAACTCCATTGTCGAGATCACCTACAAGGGCTCCGACCTGCGCAAGATCCTTGAGGGTGCCGTGACAAAGGTCAACCAGTTCAACCAGGAGGCCATCACCTCCTTCTTCCAGGTCTCCAAGAATATCATCATTGAATACAACCCGGCTGGCAACAACGGCTCCAAGCTCGTCTCTGTCGAGGTCGGCGGCGAGGCCCTTGATGACGCCAAGGATTACAAGGTCGTTACCCTCGACTTCCTGGCCGGTGGCGGTGACAACATCTTTGTTGCTACCACTGACTTCGTGACCCTCGATACTCAGGACGAGGTTCTCGTTCAGTATGTTGAGGCCAAGAGCCCCGTTGAGGCCAAGATTGAGGGCCGTATTGTCGCAACCAACGGCACCGCAGCTACTCCTTCCGGCACTGCCACCGGTACCGGTGCCGCCCCGACTTCCACCTCTGGCTCTAGCGGCGCTAGCATGGTTTCCGTCAGCATGGGTGCCGTGGGTTTCTCCCTGTTGGCCCTGCTGGCGATGTAAAGCTGGGATTGGACAAATGTGTAATGTTGTAATGATGCGGATGATGTAGATGTATGAGTAAACATAATCAAAAGTTCTCCGCCTATTGATCTTTGCCATGCATTCATAATTGTGTGAATCTTGCTACACAGTTGCCAAGGGCAAGTTCGTCCAATCATGAGACGAATTCTTTTGTCTAATCTCATATGCGGTACTATGAGGGATGAGATATCTTCCAGACCGTATGTCCTCGATACGTACATGTATTGATGTATCTTGAGTTACAGCCATAGTGTCCATTGTCGTATCAAGTTGTCACAGTGACAGGCAGGTATTACGGACTGACAGTCGGGTTCGTAGGTAGATAAGGCTACTTGGGTCAAGAGTTCAGTCCAGCCTGGCCGTTAGATCCTGATTCTTAGTACGTCACTTTCGACCTCATCAAGGGCCAATGGGCCGGTAGCCGACGAAACGGTTTCTTAGCTCCAAATGTCAGTTCAGACTGTCGTCCAGTTTGGCGGGTTTTGACCCTAACGACACGCATAACTAGCCTGGAGTAATGTTACACAGTTGACATCTCAAAATAGGGGCCCCGTCTCATGATTACAAGTGACTCGACTCCACAGACGCCACAGCTAATCATCTTCCATGATATAGTCCTGTCTATGATGGCGTACGTGTCGAATGATGATCGCATCCTTTGAATGGGCCTTTCTCCCTGCTTGCCTAAACAAGTCGAGCAATTCTTCATTCGGCTGCCACTGATCCATATTCAAAAGCCATCTTGGGCTGTCCGGACAGGAGTCCTTTGTCCCTTCACGCTTCTGATTCTCAGTCTTGATCCTGAGCAGCAAACGAGCCTTCTCCAAGTCGCCGGCCTGGCGCGCCCTATACTCCGGTACAAAGTCCTTAGACCCGCAACAGCACCGCGGGAACTCTGCTACGCCGACATCTGGCTTGACCCCGGGAGCGAGATAATTAACGTGGAAGCGATGGAACCCTTCGGAGTCGTCGCATCTATCGTACTTAGCCAAGATGACTCTGAACCGGAGTTCCTTGAGGGAGATCATCTGGCCCGCCGCCTTGGCCATGGATGTGAGCATTGGCACCATGACTTTCTCATTGACGGTCCAGGCGGCTACTTTGTCGTCGCCGCTGACGCTATACTGCCAGTCTGGGGGGTCATTCTCTAAGTAGGAACGTTCGATGTTTCTGCGTCTGTCGAGTTCCGAAACATTAGCGTTCCACACCGGCTCCTCAGCATCTCCTTCTCGGATTGCGCCTTGCACTATTCTGCCGGTGCTGGCCAGAAACTCGACAATGCGCGTGTTATAGTGCTTCAGGTACCACTCCCCGCTGGGCGAAACCATGTCGCAATCAACCTTGAGCTTGGTCATGTTCTGCCAATACGGGACTGCATCGCCCAGACTGGGGAGTGGCGGCCAGAAGAAAGAAGAGCTGAGATAGCCTCCGTACTCAAATTCTGAAAAGCCGTCAATCGCTCGGCGCAGGCTCACAAAGAGAGAATCGCTCTCCCCGTCTTTGGTTGTCGGATTAGAAGTCCAATTCAACCGCGGTATACGGCCGACTACGCAGGGGCTAATTAGGGGCCCTATTTACGATTATCATAGCCAGCCTAACCTACGGTTAGAACCTCCTTTTTATACCTATTACGTAAATATTTATATAGTTTAATTAATCTCTTCGTTAATTACGGTTCGAACTAACTATTTTATAATAGGGATATTAATACTAATTAGTAATTAAATTTTATTGTTATAAATCGGTAAGGTATTTTATTATATAAAAAAGGCGACTTCTTAATATTATATAAAATAAGAAATTCGTATTAATTAACCTTATAAAAGTAAATAAAAAAAAGGAGTAATTTTTAAATACTATACGGAATTAAGTAATTATAGCTTTTTATTACTTATAAAAGGTCGACGTTTATTATATTATATTATATTAATTAATAAAACTACTTAAATAACTAGAC